TAAACTAGTTCTAGGTAGGAGTGGGCAACTAGTGGCCCACTCCTCTCGCTATTTTTTTTTTCTTTTGATTTTTTTATAAATTTTATAATTTTGGTCCCTATAAATCATTATTATATCAACTTGGTCCTTGTGCAATGTAATCCGACCCTTGAACTTTGAATGATTCAATTGTATCCTCAATAATTGTAATTATTTTGAATTTAATGCAATTGCATCTCCGAATGTTAAATTCAAATTATTTTTGTATTTTTTTCTCTTTTTTTCTTTTTACAAATTACTAAGTAAAAATAAATAAATAAAAATAACAACACTGATTAAAATAAGAAAATGAAAAAACTTAAAATGAAATAAAATAAAATAAATAATCAACTGAAAATAAAAAAAGCTTAAAATTTTGGTTATGACAATGGGCTACACCAATCCACTCAAAGTTGGTCCACCCTAGCTTTTGTATGTTTCCGCTCAAAGGATATTATATTTCACCTCACTTTTTTTTTTTCTTCCTTTCTGATTTATAGGATTTGAATGGGTTTGTTCCATATAGTATTATATCTTGGGGTTCAAACCAAAACAAAGGATGCGGGAGAATTTTTTATTATTTTTTTTTTCATGAATGCATCGTAAAAATTTACCAGCAAATTATTTAGTTTTGATATATGAAAATCGGTTCAATTATTATTTTTTAAGTTACACTCAATTCTTTTCGTTATTATTATTATTTTTTTTATGATAATACTTTTTTATGAAGCAAAATATGGTAGCATAACATAAGATAGTAGGCTATGTGCTTATTTTTTTTATTATTAAAATTTTTGCCACATATAAATAAATGTACTTAATTACTTATAATGATTCATATGAAGTGAATAGATAAAGAAAATACGTTAGGAGATGATAAGATGGGCATGTTCTGGCCTAATCTAATGCCTTTTATTGTGTTAGGCTGGACTGATTTATTTTTCCTTGTGCCCACAGAGCTGCAGGCTGCAATGGGCCTCCATGGGTAAACAATTTTAGGCCTAAGCCCATATAAATGAAATGGCAACCAGGAACCATGACCGTTTGCTGCAGTTGATCCTATCAATCAAAACTGCTAACTCTATCAGCTCAACACAGAGTCTATAAAATCATCAAAACTTCATTTCTGAAATTTAATTTGTTGCTGAAAAATAATAATGGACTATCAAGAGATTAATTGCCATATCAGTTGTCGCTACCTGATATTCGCAGGGCTCCCAAAAGAAATTTTATTTATTGATTTTATTTGTAATCTTGTTTATACGGAAATATAATTTGTTATTAATTTCAGAATCGTCACCTAATATTAAATAAATTAGGAATATTAAAAATTAAGAGACTTGATAATTATCCATCTAGCCTAATTATTGAAATAAATTCTACAATTACATTGCTTAAATAAATTTAAAAAATTCAAATATTAAAATCAAAATTAAACATAAAATAATAAACATTCACAAAATAAACTAAATAAAACTAAAGTCCTTTTTTGGTCAGTGGGCCTTCAGCCACTAAGCCAGGCCCACTGGACTGGCCTGGCCTCCTTTCTTTGGACTGAACTGGCCTAGGATCAGCCCAGCCCAAATTCTATTTTTTCCTTTCACGGGCTGGACTAGGCTGGAAACAACCTAGCCCAAATTCCCTTCTTTCTGGGCATGAATGGGCTGAGATTAGCCCAGTCCAGCCTCACATGGGTTGGGTTTGCTTCTTTTCAGCTCGGTCGAAAACACCAAAACAAAACTTCCCCAAATTATTTTGGATCAAACACCCTTCTTCTTTTCCTTTCTCTCCCGATCTCACTCTCCTCTCTTCAAAGAATGAACCAGAGGTTCGCTCTCTGTCTCCCCTTCAGTCTTCCTTCACAACCTCTCTCTCCTCCCATCGATTTCTCTCTGCCTTCCTCTCATTCCCTCTCTTCTTCTCTTTCACTGGTACTAGGAACACAAGAATGATCTAAAGGAGGAGAAAGTAGTGACAACACAAGTAATCATCAGTCTTTCTTTCAAATAGAGATAGATCCTCTAATAATATTAATCTCATAAATCAAATATGCTCTCATCTAATTATATTTCATCAATGCTATTATTTGAATGGCCACCATAGTATAACTATGTGAAGTATAATCAAGTATATTTAATAGAAATTGTTTAACTTTTTTTTACATTATTTTGATGGAAACTCCGATGTAATCATTTAATAAAGAGTAATAGTGAAAACATATTCAAATATAGGTATAGTGTAAATTCATAGTTAACCCTAGTTTTGACCTCGCACACCTTCAATCCCTATCTCCGTCCTAAGAATGGGACCAAACTCCAGAATCAGACAACACAGCCTAAAGAAAGGTCAACGAAGAACCACTTGCTACGAAGCAGCTCATGGCCACATGCTCCTAACCCAACCTTATATTATATTACTCCTTTTCAGCATTTACAGCCCAAATTAAGGCGCTTGGGCCCGCACATGACTTTTTCCGGCCTTTTTGCTTGAGTGTCGGTGCCACAATTTCTTGATGGCCAGAAGACATGAAATACTTAATATGACAAATGAAAATTGTTAGTAAAAGAATCAAGTTAAAAAATAAAATCAAAATAATCATAAAAAAATAAAAATTTTTCGTGATTTGATAATAATATCTATTTCTTAAATATATTAAAATTTTTTATTAAATAATAAATATAAATATAAGTGATATTAGTTTTATTTTTAGTTTGAACAGTTAGAGTTATATATATATATATAGTTTTGAATAACGAATTTATTAGGTCTTCATGTTTCAAGAATTAATTAATTATTTTTATCATTTATTTTATATTTTTTCAATTTATTTTGGTTTTTGTTAAAAATATAAAAAGAAAAAAAATGATATGAAATATTGATAAGAAAAAAGAATTTTTTTAAAAAATAAAATAATATTAAATTAAGTATATTAAATAATTATTTTTTAAAAAAATAACTAATTTATTTATTTATTAAAAGTAGAGAAACTTATTTATAATTTAGTCGAACAAAATGAGCATGCAAGAACAGTCGATCATAAATTATTTAATATTGACCGTGACCTCCTCGGAAAAGGTGGCACCTGACCTCCTTTGGAAAAGGTGGCATCTATAGGGCAGGTCTTTGTTCATTCATTTATTGGACAATCTTTTTGTTTCGGTATGGAAATTTATTCTTCAATTTTGATCTTTAATGTTTGATTTTAAATTTTTTAATTATTTTGGTCTTTACTGTTTCAAAGAAAAGTCTTTAATTATTGTTTTCATAATAGAAAAGTCTTCTTCATAAAATAAAAAATAAATAAATAAAAAAAGTCTTCAATTATTGCGTTTTTGTTGCCTTCACATAAAAGCTAAATATTTAAGCAGGCTTGCAGAGATCAAGCAGGCACGTCTTCTAAACAAAAACCTAAGTCTCAACTCACTCGTTATTCATTTCAATTAATCGCTTCTCCTCTCCAAAACAAAATGGCAGAAGTTTTTGCAGCCGAGATTGCAAAATCCCTTTTAGGGAAGCTAGGTTCGTTTGCAGTTCAAGAATTTTGTTTGGCATGGGGACTTGAAGTTGACCTTGCTCGTCTTGAAGAGAGATTGTCAGCCATCGATGCAGTTTTGTCAGATGCCGAGGTGCAACAGTCACAAAATCACAGAATTCGGCTCTGGCTCCAGAAGCTCAAAGAAGTCTTGTATGACGCGGAGGACGTGTTGGATGAAATTGAGTGTGAAACTTTGCGAAGGCAGGTGGTGAAAACTAGTGGGAGCATCAGCAGAAAGGTACAACGCTTCTTTTCAAGTTCTAATATGATTGCATTCCGTTTAAGAATGGGTCATAAAATAAAGGACCTCATCGACAGACTGACTGAGATTGCATCTCTTAGGTCTGACTTTAACCTCATCGAGCAGACTATTGATCATAGTCATGTCTTGCATAAGGAAACAGAGATGAGACAATCCTTTGAGAGCTTTTCCGATCTTATTGGAAGAGACAAAGAGAAGGAACGAGTCATCAACCTTTTAATAGAACCTTTTAAGGTTGGTGATGAACATCCCTTTGTTTTTCCAATAGTTGGAATGGGTGGTTTGGGGAAGACTGCTCTGGCCAAAACAGTGTGTGATGAAAGTGCTCATTTTGAACTGAAAATGCAAGTGTGTGTTTCAGATGGTTTTACTCTAAAACAAGTGATAACAAAAGTTATTAAATCTGTAACTGGAGAAAAATGTAGTGATTTGGACGAGGGCGAACTAAAAGCAAAACTAGAAGCAATTTTGAATGATAGAAAATACTTGCTTCTTTTAGACGATGTTTGGAATGAAGATCCCCACAGATGGCTCTTGTTGAAGCCTTTGTTTTCTAAAGGTGCATTAGGAAGTAAAATTATAGTAACTACCCGTAGCAAACGTGTTGCTGAGATTATGGGTACTGTTTCTGCATACGAGTTAAGTCTTCTTGATCAGAAGGACTGTTTGTCTTTGTTTGATAAGTGTGCATTTAAGGAAAGGCAAAAGGATCGACATCCAAATTTGGTTGAAATTGGGAAGGAAATAGTGGAGAAGTGCAAGCAAATTCCTTTGGCAATAATTAACTTAGGAACTCAACTGTATGGTAAAATTGATGAAAGAGAGTGGAAATTGATAAGAGATAGTGAGGCATGGGAGGAAAAAGAAGATGGGATTTTACCTGCTTTAAAAATAAGTTACCAACGGTTGCCAACTCATTTGAAAAGATGCTTTATTTATTGTTCAATTTTTAAAAAAGATTACTTTTTTACAGATTTAGTTTTGGTGCAATTTTGGATGGCACATGGTCTCATTCAATCATCTAATCCCAATGAAAACTTGGAAGATGTTGGCTCGCGGTATCTGCGTGAGTTGATCTCAAAATGTTTTTTCCAAGATTTCCTTGATTCGTTTTTTTGGGTTTCCTTTAAAATGCATGATTTAATGCATGATCTTGCATCATCATTAGCTCAAAATGAGTGTTCAATGATAACCTCTCAAAACTACCAAATTTCCAAAACTACCTTTCATTTGACAGTTCTTGACTCTCATTCATTTTTTCATCAAGCTCTTCCCAAGTCTCCAAATAAATTAGATCGTGTGAGATCAGTTCTCTTTGCATGTGACCTAGAGGAGCCTAGATGCAAAACAGACTTTGAGAAATGTTTGATGGAATTTACGCATTTGCGGTCACTGGAATTAGTGGGTGGTTGTGAATTGCTTCCAGAAAGGATTGGTGCCCTGAAACATTTGACATATCTCAATTTGGTTGATAATTCAAAATTGAAAAGATTACCAAAATCTATTTTCAAATTACAAAATTTGCAAGCCCTGTTTCTAGGTAAAGGATTAGAAGAGCTGCCCAAAGATGTGAGGTACATGATCAGCCTTAGACTTTTATTTCTAATTACAAAGCAGAAGCGGTTGCCACAAGGTGGGATTGGGTGCTTGCAATGTCTTCGATTTTTAATCATTGCTAGGTGTGAAAATCTTGAATATTTGTGCGAAGATATGCAAGGTCTTAAAAGCCTTCGAAGATTGGTTATTGTTAAATGTAAAAGCTTGATCTCTTTGCCACGAAGCATGAAATACCTGACTGCATTGGAGGTTTTGATTATTGTCGGTTGTGAAAAGATTGATTTGGGTCTTGCAATGGAGGAAAAGAAAGAGGAAGAAATTAAACCGCTTCGCCTTCAGACTGTAATGTTTGGATGGTTACCAGCAACATCAGCATTGCCAGAACAGATTCTTCAAAGATCTACAGACTCCTTGCATACATTTATGATTGGATACTGTCCAAACATTAGAGAATTGCCAGAGTGTGTCGGCAATCTAAAAAAACTCCAAGCGCTTACGATCTTGGGTTGTCCAAGTTTGGGCAAAAGGTGCCAAAGGGGAATAGGAGAAGATTGGCCCAAGATTGCTCATATCCCGGAAATTGAAGTTCGCTATGATGAAGAAACATCTGATTAGGTACGGATTATCAGGATTTTATATGTTCATTTTTAGTTTCACACTTTATAGATTGTTCAATTCCTTATATCCTTTTTTTTTTTTAATGGAACCATTTTCTCCTTTCGTATTTATTCTATAAGTTTGCAATGCTTATTCTACTTAATTTGATAAATCTTGCGTGTGTTTTGGAGGGGTAGGTTCAATTGAACTGCATCTGCTTCACCAGAGCAAAAGAGGAAGCCGGTATGATGTTTTATTCTCTCATTAAAAGTTAACTAATTCATTCAGCAACATATTTAAATTTCTTTGAACTAGCTAAAAATATTAAATTCTTTGTTTGTCTCTTTTTTGTAGTTTCGTGTGGGTTTCTGCTGATGGTTGTTCTTGATCTTCCATCTGTTCAGTGGTGTTGCAGTGGAGACCAATTTCCTCTCTGTGTGCTCTTCTCTTTGTTCGTTGCAGCTTTGGTTTCTTGTTCCAGTTGGTTACTTGCAGAGATTGGCCTGAGGCTGGATGCGTCTGCCTTGTTTAATTCCTCATGCCTTAATTTTATTAGCTAGCTGCTTGTGGCTTTCTGGGTTGCTTTCCAGCAGCCGTTGTATTTGCTGTGGATAAACTGTCTTTAATAAATTAATGAATATTCAGTTGTGATCACTTCATGCTTGTATTTGATATTTAATGATGTAATAATAAACATTTTCTCACACATGAATATCTAGTTTTATCTAAATCTGTTCACCATTATGATATGCAAGTTCTGTCTCAGCAGTACAAACATTTCAAGCAACTAAGTCCTTCCAAGAAAGATAAAATTTGATTTTTCTCTAGAGAGGGGGAAAAGAAAGTTGGCAAGAATTTTCGGTTGCAGGATATTATGGTGTTTTTCCCTAAGAAGACCACAGATGTAATTGATCTTTACTAGTGTTACCTTGTTTTCCACCATTGCAGAGAGGTTCAAGAATGAGAAGATAGACCAACTCTAGTTAATGAACCCAGTTGTTTGTTTCCTTTTGTTTTTGATCATACAAGATATGAAGACAAAAGACTTGTGTTCTGAATCTACAAAGTTTGAAAAACAGCCATATTCCTCCTTCCCTCTTCTTTTCTTTGTACTGCTGAGAACTACAAGGAGATGTTCTTGCTGCTATAGCCCTGCAGCTACAGAGGGTGATTTTGAACTTTCTTATAGGATTACATGTTCTGAAGCTTAATGTTGTAAAATTACAGCTCGTGATTGAGTCTACACGGAGATGTTTCTTTTTTATCATTTTTATGCTGCTAAACTCTGCTACCAAACGGCAAAAACAGAGTAAACAATAATCAAAACACCACATTTTTCTCACAAATATAGAGTTTTATATCTTCATTAATTCATTTTCTGAAATATTGCAGCAGTTGTTATTCCTTTGCTTGGAAACTGGATACAGACTATTGTTGACAGAGTTGTATTCATCATTTTCAGAAATTATTTACTTTGAGTAAAAACACCCGGGAGTAAATCCCAATTCCCAGCCTGTAAATTTGCTCAAAAAAAAAAAAAAAAAATCAGGATTTCAATAAATCTTGACTCTAAAAGATTAAATTTTAAAAGGATGCCCTCAGTAAAACCGTTCTCCCTCCTCTTCACGGGTCTGGGCCCAATGATACACTCATGATGGGCCGAAGCATGCGAACGATTATAGGCATATTTATTAGCAGCCCAATTAATTAGTGTCATTATCCCAATTCACCAAAAAAAAAAAAAATAATAATAATAATAAAATAAAATAAAAATTTATTACCAACTTAATATTGGTCACTTGTCCACACATAAGCCAAAAATTGATTAGTTAATGTATTTGGGATTAAAATCCTTTTATATTTCTTTAGAAATATGACCGTTGTGAAAAACTAATACTAATTTATTATACTTTTCGTGACAAAATAACGAAAGAGATAACAGTGTAAGGTTTAGACGATGGTTAAAAAAAAAAAAAAAAAAATACTGATATCTCATATTGAAGATTTGTTACACAGACCTGATATGGTTGTGGTGAGATGTGGTGAGATCCGTCAAGATGGTTATGGATGTGAAAGGTGCTAGTCTCCTTGCTAGGGCATTATATATAAATAACGAGGGAGAGAGAGAGAGAGAGAGAGAGGAATTGCATGCATCATAGAATAAATCATATAACTAATTAAGAAAGGAATTGCATCGGAGAATAAATCATATATTATATAAGATACTCAAAAAATAAAATAAATTTACTAATACATCATTAATACAATATTGAAAACTAAAATATATTTAAAAAATAAAATCAAAATATATATTAGATTTGTAAATGGGTCTAAAACTTTGTGTTTAAACTAGTAAATCTGTAAAGGAAGAATAATGATAAGTGACAAGTCATTTGACAAGAGATGATACAAACTATATGCCGACTTTTCCTAAAATGAGACAAGTTGTGTTTATATTAAAAAACCAGTAGCATAGTTCTACGACAAACACACAAACTCATATATATTAAAAAAATAGATACAAACTAAATGTCACAGGTACTAATCGGTTGACTTTTTTTTTTTTTATAGGAAAATATGATTTAGAAATCGTGTAAAAATATTAGTACATATTGATTGGTTTCCACTAAATATACAAATATCCAATACTTACTAATATTTGATTAACATGAATTCAACTTCTTTCACTATGAAAAAATTTAATAGTTTTTGCGTACTATCATTTTATAATTCTATCTGATTCGTAATTTTGGTGTTTGTGTGTATATATATTTATATATTATAGAAATTGGTTGTACCTATTTATCATACTTATTATGATACTTATTTATGTATTAAACAATAGAGAAACTAGCAAGAAAAGCCTTTTTTTTTTTTTTCAAAAACTGTAAAAAAATATATATCATGCTAGGCACGAACTTCCTTTGCGATTTGCACCTCTTCTTTGATCATTATTCGTATTATCATTGTGTGCATGATGGAGCTGTAGAAAGACAACGAAGAAGAACGAACAAGAAATTAAGAATCAAACTAATGTGAAATCGTTTTTGTAATTGATGTTGATGAAATCTTCCTTAAGGGAGTCCTCTTTTATTGGTATTAGGTATGATTTTGTTACCAATAAAAGAGAACGTAGCTAGCAACACAAATAATCTTCAGTCTTTCTTTCAAATGGAGACAGATCCTTTAGTAATACTAATCTCAAGTTTGCTTGAGTGTCTGTGTTATCCCATTCATGTTTGCTTGAAATACAAGAATATAAGAAATACAGAATAAAGAATTATTGTTCAGAGAGAGAATATTCAGAGGAAATACAGAGAGGAAGAGAGAGATGATTTTGCACAAATGATCCAAAATGACTCTTCTTTCCTGCAGCACTCTTCATATCATATGTCGACCTCCTTCCAAATCTTGTCCCGTATGAGAATTCAATCCCTTTCTTTCCTTCACAATTCCAACAAAGCCTTCTAACTATCTTTCCTTCAAAATTCCAAAAAAGCCTTCTAACACAGCAGCTCTCAGTTGCTGATCTGTTTTCAATGGAAAATATACTAATTACTGATAAGATAAGATTTACAAGGCAAGTACTCTTTGGCAAAAAAAGTACTTTAAAATGCTTTTTTTTTTCATGGTAATACTTTTTTATGAAGTAAAATATGGTAACATAAGATAGGTAATATGGTATGTGCTTATTTTTTTAAAATTTTTTTTGCCACATGTAAATAAATATACTTAATTACTTATAATGATTCATATGAAGTGAATAGTATTTTCATAGATAAGGAAAATAAAGTTACGAGATGATAAGATGGGCCTGCTTCTGGCCTAATCTAATTCCTTTTATTGTGTCAGGCTGGACTGATTTATTTTTCCTTCTGGCCTAGAATACCCATAGAGGTGCAGACTAAAATGGGCCTCCACGGGTAAACAATTTTGGGCCTAAACCCATATAAAAGATAGTTTTTTATCAGAATGGAAAGGAGCACAATGGGTATCTTTAGCTCAAGTCTTTCTTTATTCTTTAATCTATTGGATAGATTTTCAATGTCGGCCACCGGGTCAAAGGAAATGGAAAAGTCTTCAATTATTGTCTTTCTTTATCCTTTGATCCATTGGATAGATATCCATGAAAAGCAGGCATATATGTATACACAATGAAATAAACGCTATAATTTACTCTTGATAAAAAAATCGAAAATATTTTAAAATATTATATTATAGTTATTATATAATAAATTTAAAAATAATTTTATATTAAATAAGAAATAAAAAATAAACTTATCGATCATACGATATTTTTGCTGTTTTTAAGAGTAAATTGCATTATTCGAAGAATTATTATGGTTATAACTCTGCGACTTTGTAAAGTCAAATGATATTCTAAGAGATTTATCTCTTCATTGAATAAAAATAAAAATTAAATTAAAAAGATAGAAATCAATTCTATATAATCATGCACTTATTTGAATATTCAAACTCATTCGTCAAAAGAAAACTAGTGTGTGAAATTCAAAAAGAAAACAATTAATAAACAATCTATTTTATTTTATTTTTATTTTTTGTGTTGACAATTAAAAATTTACAAGTCAGTTTTAATTACATTCTAAAATTTAATATATTTTTTTAGGTTGAAACTTAGGTAAACTAATCACAATCAAATTGAATTGGTAAAAAAGAATAACTTCTCATATATCGTGCTTGTGTATGATTAAAGAATCAAAGATAGCTAGATAGCTCAAAAGATTTCTAGCTATCTCGTTTTTTCTTTTACTAAAGATGCTTGATATGATACATTCTATCTGAAAATATTAGTAAAAGCAAAAGGAGGTACCCAACTAGCTTTTCAATGTCGGCCACCCAGAAGAATTACAGTTATATATATATATAAAAAAAAAAAAAAACCTAATGAATCTATACATTTAGACTGAGTTTCAGTATTCACAACTTAACAAAAATAGTATTGCCAAGAACAAAATATAATAAACTATAAATTAATTTTTTTAGTTTTGAAAAATGAATTTATTAGTTCTTCATGTTTCAAGAATTAATTAATTAATTATTATTTATTTAATATATATTTTTTCAATTTATTTTATTTTTTAAAATATAAAAAGAAGAAAAATAAAATGAAATATTGATAATATTTTTAAAAATAAAATAATATTAAATTAAATATAGTGAGTACTGATTAGAGATTAAGTAATTATTTTTTAAAAAAATAACGAATTAATCTATTTCTTAAAAGTAGAGAAACTTAAAGCAGGTCTTTGAAAAAAATAATTGTTTATAATTTAGTCGAATAAAATGAGCATGAAATTAAGAATAGTGGATCATAAATTATTTAATATTGACCGTGACCTCCTTGGAAAAGGTGGCATCCATAGCGCAGGTCTTTGTTCGTTCGTTTACTGGACGAATATACATCAAACCAATCTTTTTTTTTTTTTTTTTTGTTTTTGTTTTCCGGTATGGAAATTTATTCTTCAATAAAAAAAAAGTCTTCAATTATTGCGTTTTTGTTGCCTTCACATAAAAGCTAAATATTTAAGCAGGCTTGTAGAGATCACCAAGGCACGTCTTCTAAACAAAAACCTAAGTCTCAAATCACTCGCCATTCATTTCAATTAATCTTCTCTTCTCCCCTCAAAACGAAAAATGGCGGAAGCTTTTGCAACCGACATTGCAAAATCCCTTTTAGGGAAGCTAGGCTCTTTTGCTGTTCAAGAGTTTTGTTTGGCATGGGGGCTTGAAGGTGACCTTGCACGTCTTGAAAAGAAATTGTCAGCCATCAATGCTGTTCTGTCAGATGCCGAGAAGAAACAGTCACAAAATGACAAGATTCGGCTATGGCTCCAGGAGCTCAAAGAAGTCTTGTATGATGCAGAGGACGTGCTGGATGAATTTGAGTGTGAAACTTTACGAAGGCAGGTGGTGAAAACTGGAGGTAGCATCAGCAGAAAGGTACGACGCTTCTTTTCAAGTTCTAATATGATTGCATTCCGTTTAAGAATGGGTCATAAAATAAAAGACCTCATCGACAGGCTGGTTGAGATTGCATCTCTTAAGTCTGACTTTAACCTCACCGAGCAGACTATTGATCATAGTCATGTCTTGCATGAGGAAACAGAGATGAGACAATCCTTTGAGAGCTTTTCCGGTCTTATAGGAAGAGACAAAGACAAGGAACGCATCATCAACCTTTTAGTAGAACCTTTTACGGTTGGTGGTGAACATCCCTTTATCGTTCCAATAGTTGGAATGGGTGGTTTGGGGAAGACTGCTCTTGCCAAATCGGTATGTGATGATGGAAACGTAGGCACTCATTTTGAACTGAAAATGCAAGTGTGTGTTTCAGATGGTTTTACTCTAAAACAAGTGATTCCAAAAATTATTAAATCTGCAATTGGAGAAAAATGCAGTGATTTGGATGAGGGTGAACTAAAAGCAAAACTGGAAGCAATTTTGAATGGTAGGAAATACTTGCTTGTTTTAGATGATGTATGGAACGAAGATCCCCACAAATGGCTCTTGTTGAAGCCTTTGTTTTCTAAGGGTGCACTAGGAAGTAAAATTGTAGTAACCACCCGTAGCAAACGTGTTGCTGTGATAATGGGTACTGTTCCTGGATACGAATTAAGTCTTCTTGATCAGAAGGACTGTTTGTCTTTGTTTGAGAAGTGTGCATTTAAGGAAAGACAAAAGGACCAATATCCAAATTTGGTTGAAATCGGGAGAGGAATTGTGGGAAAATGTAAGCAAATTCCTTTGGCAATAATTAACTTAGGAACTCAACTGTATGGTAAAATTGATGAAAGAGAGTGGAAACTGATAAGAGATAGTGGGACATGGGAGGAAAAAGAAGATGGGATTTTACCTGCTTTAAAAATAAGTTATCAACGATTGTCAACTCACTTGAAAAGATGCTTTATTTATTGTTCAATTTTTCCAAAAGATTACGGTTTTACAGATTTAGTTTTGGTGCAATTTTGGATGGCACATGGACTCATTCAATCATCAGATCCAAATGAAAACTTGGAAGAGGTTGGCTCACGGTATCTAGGGGAGTTGATATCAAAATGTTTCTTTCAAGATTTTAAAGAAATGTATTTTGCTGTTAGTTTTAAAATGCATGATTTGATGCATGATCTTGCATCATCATTAGCTCAAAATGAGTTCAATCATAACCTCTCAAAACAACGAAATTTTCAAAACTACCCTTCATTTGTCAATTCTTGATTCTCAATCATTTTTTCATCAAGCTCTTCCCAAGTCCCCAAATAAATTAGATCGTGTGCGAACACTTCTCTTTGCAAGTGATCTAGAGGAGCCTAGATGTAAAACAGGCTTTGAGAAATGTTTGATGGAATTTAAGCATTTGCGGTCTTTGGAATTAATGCATGATTGTGGATTGCTTTCAGAAAGGATTGCTGCCTTGAAACATTTGAGATGTCTCCATTTGGCCGGAGATTCAAAACTGAAAAGGTTACCAAACTCTATTTTCAAATTACAAAATTTGCAAGCTCTGTTTCTCGGTGATGGATTAGAAGAGCTGCCCAAAGATGTGAGGTACATGATCAGCCTTAGACTTTTATTTTTATGTACCAAGCAGAAGCGGTTGCCACAAGGTGGGATTGGGTTCTTGGAATGTCTTCAAATTTTATTCATCGCTGAGTGTGAAAATCTTGAATATTTGTGCGAAGATATGCAAGGTCTTAAAAGCCTTCGAAGATTGGCTATTGTTGATTGTAAAAGCTTGATCTCTTTGCCACGAAGCATGAAATACCTTACTGCATTGGAGATTTTGACTATTTTCTATTGTGAAAAGCTTGATTTGGGTATTTCAATGGAGGAAGAGTACGAGGAAGAAATTAAACCACTTCGCCTTCAGACTGTAATGTTTGGATGGTTACCAGCAACATCAGCATTGCCAGAACAGATTCTTCAAAGATCTACAGACTCCTTACAAACAGTTTGGATTAGCGGCTGTCCAAACATTAGAGAGTTGCCAGAGTGTGTCGGCAATCTAAAGAAACTCCAAACGCTTACGATCGGTGGTTGTCCAAGTTTGGGCAAAAGGTGCCAAAGGGGAATAGGAGAAGATTGGCCCAAGATTGCTCATATCCCTGAAATTGAAGTTGACTATGATGAAGAAACATCTGATTAGGTACGGATTATTAGGATTTTAAATTCTCATATTTAGTTTCGCACTTTGTAGATTGTTCAATTCCTTGTATCTTTTTTTTAATGTAACCATTTTCTCCTCTTGTATTTATTCTATAAGTTTGCAATGCTTATTCTAGTTAACTTGACAAATCTTGCGTGTGTTTTGGAGGGGTAGGTTCAATAGAACTGCATCTGCTTCACCAGAGCAAAAGAGCAAGCCGGTACGATGTTTTGTTCTCATTAAAAGTTAACTAATTCATTCAGCAACGTATTTAAATTTCTTTGAACTTGCTAACAGTATTAAATTCTTTGTTTGTTTCTTTTTTTGCAGCTTTCGTGTGGGTTTCTGCTGATGGTTGTTCGGGATCTTCAATCTGTTCGTTCAAATAAAGATGAAGAATGTGCACTGGAGATTAATTTCCTCTCTCTGTGTGCTCTTCTCACTGTTCCCGTTGGTGATTCATTTGGCTTTTCATTTATCGTTGCTGCTTTGGTTTCTTGTTCCAGTGCCCTGGGCTAATCCTTTTCGATATTCCTGGATTTGCTCCTGATGCTTCTTTTCATCCTGCTATTTGCTCTCTCATTGTTGGCCCTTGCTCTGCGTGTTGTGAGGCCAGTCCTGTTGGCTCAGATCTTCTAAAACTGTTGGTTGCTTGCAGAGAATGGCTTGAAGCTGGATGCGTCTGCCTTGTTTAATTCCTCATGCCTTAGTTTTCTTAGCTAGCTGGGTGTGGCTTTTTGGGTTCCTTTCTAGCAGCCATTGTATCACTTGTGGATAAATTGTCATTAATAAATGGATGGACATTCAGTTGTTATCACTTCATTCTTATATCTGATATATAATGATCTAATAATAAACATTTTCTCAATTGTTTTTCTCCAAATAATAGATATTTAGAGCCAGATGTGCTTCCAGTTTTATCTTCAATACTATGATGCAAGTTCTGTCTCTGCAATCTAAACTTCTGAAAAGGAAAGCTCTATATAAAAGTGTACGCCAATTAGTCATCAGTACAAACATTTCAAGCAGCTAAGTCCTTACAAGAGGGGGAAAAGCAGTCTAATCATGCTTCATTCTAACATGAAGCAAATCAATCTAATTAGACTTTTCTCTGGGAAAAGGAGGAAACGAAAGTTGGCAAGAAATTTTCGGTTGCTGGATAATATGGTGTTTTCCCCTAAGAAAACCACAGATCTAATTGATCTTTCCTAGTGTTGCCTTGTTTTCCTCCACTGTTGAAAGGTTCAAGAATGAGAAGATAGGCCAACTCTATGTAAGTTAACGACCCAAGTTGTTTGTTTCCTTTTCTTTTTGATCATACAAGATATGAAGGCAAAAGAATAGTGTTCTGAATCTACAGAGTTTGAAGAACAGCCATATTCCTCGTTCCCTCTTCTTTTCTATGTAAGTTAATGACCCAAGGTGATTTTGAACTTTCTTAAAGGATTAGATGTTCTGAAGCTTAATGTTGTAAAATAACAGCTGGTGATTAAGTCTACATTATGACTGCAACTTCTGCACGAGGCATCATTTTTAGCTGCTAAACTCTGCTACCAAATGGCAAAAACAGAGTAAACAATGACCAAAACACAACATTTTTCCAACAAAAATATAGTATCATATCTCTAGTAATTCATTTTCTGAAATATTGCAGCAGTTGTTATTCCTTTGCTTGAAAACTGGCTGCAGACTATTGTTGACAGATTTGTGTTCATCATTTTTCGAAATTATTTATTTTGAGTATATCCCAATTCCCAGCCTGTAGATTTGCTCAAGAAAGAAAGAAAGAAAGAAAGAAATTCAGGATTTCAATAAGTTAATTAAACTACATTGACTCTGAAAGATTAAATTTTGAAAGGATGCCCTCTGTAAAACCGTTCTCCTTCCTCTCCACGGGCTTGGGCCCAAAGGGATACTCATGATGGGCCGAAGCATGCGAACGATTATAGCCAGCCTAATTAATTAGTATCATTATCCCAATTAACCCAAAAAAAATATTTATTACCAACTTAATATTGATCACTTGTCCACATATAAACCAAAAAATGATTAGTTAATGTATTTGGGATTAAAATCCTTTTATATTTCTTTAAAAATATGATCGTTGTGAGAAATTAATACTAATTTATCACATTTTTCGTGACATTGATTTATTGGAAAAACTACAATATCTATGCAAAAGTAATTGCTTCTTTTAGACGATGGTTGGAATGAAGATCCTCACAATTGGCTCTTGTTGAAGCCTTTATTTTCTAAGGGTGCATTAGGAAGTAAAATTGTAGCAACTACCCATAGAAAACGTGTTGCTGAGCTTATTAGTACTGTTCCTGCATACGAGTTAAGTCTTCTTGATATCAATTTGGTGCAATTTTGGATGGCACATGGACTCATTCAATCTTCAAATCCAAATGAAAACTTGGAAGATGTTGGCTTGCGGTGTCTGAGTGAGTTGATCTCAAATGTCTTTTCCAAGATTTTGTTGATCTGTTTTTTCGGGCTGCCTTTAAAATGCATGATCTTTCATCATCACTAGCTCAAATAATTGTTCAATCATAACCTCTCAAAACTATCAAATTTTCAGAAATATCCTTCATTTGTCAGTTCTTGATTCTCGTTCATTTTTTCGTCAAGCTCTTCTCAAGTCCCCAAATAAATTAGATCGTGTGCGAACAGTTCTCTTTGCAAGTGATCTAGAAGAGCCTAAATGCAAAACAGACTTTGAGAAATGTTTGATTGAATTTAAGCATTTGCGATCGTTGGAATTAATGGATGATTGTGAATTGCTTTCGGAAAAGATTGGTGTCCTGAAACATTTGAGATATCTCGATTTGGCTAAGAATTCAAAATTGAAAAGATTGCCAAAATCTATTTTCAAATTGCAAAATTTGCAAGCTTTGTCTCTAGGTGATGGATTAGAAGAGCTGCCCAAAGATTTGAGGTACATGATCAGCCTTAGATTTTTATTTCTATTAACTAAGCAGAAGCGGTTGCCAGAAGGTGGGATTGGGTGTTTAGAAGGTCTTCGATTTTTATGCATTAGTGGCTGTGTAAATCTTGAAAATTGTGCAAAGATTTACAAGGTCTTAGAAGCCTTCGAAAATTGATTATTTGTGACTGTAAAAGCTTGATCTCTTTGCACAAAGCTTGAAATACCTGACTGCACCGGAGATTTTGCTTATTTCCAATTGTGAAAAGCTTGATTTGACAATGGAGGAAGAGAACGAGGAAGAAATTAATCAACTTCGCCTTCAGAAGGTAGCATTTACAGGGTTGCCAGCAACACTAGCATTACCAAAACAGATTCTTCAAAGATCTGCAGACTCTTTAAAAACATTTGTAATTATAGATTGTCCAAACATTAGAGAATTGCCAGAGTACATCAGCAATCTAAAGAAACTGCAAATCCTTGGAATCACCCGTTGTCCAATTTTGAGCGGAAGGTGTCAAGAGGGAACAGGAGAAGATTGGCCCAAGATCGTTCATATCCCTCAATTTGAAAATGTTGACGATTGGCACATCTGATTAGGTACGGATTATCAGGATTTTATATTCTTATATGTAGTTTCACATTTTATAGATTGTTCAATGTCCTTCTTTTTAACGGAACCATTTTCTCCTCTTGTTTTCATGCTATAAGTTTGGAATGCTTATTCTAGTTAATTTGACAAATCTTGTGTGTGTTTTGGAGGGGTTGGTTCAATAGAACTCCATCTGCTTTAGCAGAGCAAAAAAGCAATATATTTAAATTCTTTGCTTGTCTAATTTTTGCAGCTTTCTTGTGGGTTTCTGCTGATAGTTGTTCGGGATCTTCAATCTGCTCGTCGGTGTTCTTGATAAGATAGTTCGTTCACAAGAAGATGAAGAACATGCAATGGAGATTTCTTTCTTCTCTCTGTGTGCTCTTCTCGTTGTTCATGTTGGTGATTTATTTGGTTTTTCGTTGTTTGTTGCTGCTTCGGTATCTTGTTCCAGTGCCCTGGGCTAACTGTTTTCGATATTCCTGGATTTGCTTCTAATGTTTTCTTTTCAACCTGCTATTTGCGCTTTCATTGTTGATCTTTGCTTTGGTTTCTTACCGTGACTCCAGTCTGGTCAGATCTTCTACAACAGTTGGTTACTTGCAGAGATTGGATGTGACTGCCTTGTTTAATTCCTCCTGCCTTGATTTTCTTAGCTAGCTATTTGTGATTTTCTGGCTTGCTTTCTAGCATCCATTGTATTAGCTGTTATCACTTCATGCTTGTATCTGATACTTAATGATCTAATAATAAACATTTTCTCACACAAAATATCATAATTAATGTTTGTTCTTCATTGTCACCGAATTAAGCGTCCCATGCATAGGAGAAACTCACCTCCCATGTAAGTGAAGCAAAAACAGGGATAACGTAAAGGAAATGATAAAATATATCTGATGTCGATTCATGTTTTATTATTATTATTATTATAAACAAAGCTTTTAACCCAAATCGATGTACAATTTTTTCTAATATTTGAACTTTCTTGTTCTTTTTTGTTTTTTTTTCAACAATAATATTTGAACTTTCCCGATACTTGGTGTTGCGGTCTTCTGAATTATATAAACAGTAGGGCTCATATGCACACAGATACTTGGAGTTCTTTTCTTCTACGTACCAAACCTTATTGGGCTGGGAGAGTTATATGCCTTGACAACTTGGGTCAGAATATCTAAATGATGAAGTTCAAAAATAATGTTATCTTTCCTAGAAAAGACAGGGAAGTGAAGGAGATTAAAGAAATTTTTCGATTTATAGCATAGTTTTTTGGCAGCAAATTATTTTTCCTTCTAATCAAAGTAAACCATTTGACTAATGAAGGACATTTGATCCAATTACAAAGAAGCAATAACCTCTTCTCCTTTCCTTTTTAATGCACATTGGTAGATAAATATTGTCTTTTTGTTTAGTTTAACTATTATTATTAACTAAAAATTTCTTTAAAAAATTTAATATCTAGTATTTTGAATTAAATTTTTTCATATACGTGAATAAAAAAATCAATCTACTTTCAAAAATAATTTTAAAAATGTTTTAGGTCAAAAGGTATTTTTAAATTTTTCTAAACATTAAATATTTACCAAATTAAAAAAAAAAAATTGGAATGATACTATATTTTGTTAGGTGCCCCAAAAATCATATAAATTTATCTAACTAGTTTAAAATATTTTCGTAGTCAAATGCATAGTACTTAATCAAGTTTAAAATAATTTAATTTTGAGAACCATATAGGTAAAAAATTTGAGAATTGTACTAAAGTTATGTATGTAAATTTGTATAAGTACTTTCTTAGGGCTCTCAAAAACATTTGAAATAATTCCAATTTATTTTCCATTTTTCATAATTTATTGAATGTTTGTTGTCTAGAAAATAATATATATATATATATATATATATATCAGCTTTAAAAAAATTTGAAATTATTTATGAAAAGGGATTGAATTTTCACTAGCATCTTAGAAAATTTTCAATTGGAAGTACCAAATATGACCTTTTAAGGTGAGTTTTGATCGACTCTCAAAGTTTAATCCAATAACATAACAATTAAATCAAAATGAGATACAATATTTGTTCAAAATATAATAATTTAAGAATAAAATTAAATAAATTAATAATACAGAAATATTGCAGCACCAAAGAAAGAAAACATATTAAAGAAAAATAGAATAAAATCGAAAAGAATAATGGACTGGGCCTGCTAGATTTGGGTGGCTAGAGGCCTCGAGCATGGCTTAATCTTTTCCGATAGCAAAAGTAAAGGCAAAATTCAAAATAGAATAACGCTGACAAGTCTTTCACCTGAACAACTTCTTAAACATTGAGCTTTTTTCTCAGATTTCTAAGATGACCTAAAACCTTTGAATCTTCGTTTTTGCACCATTTTCAGCAATAAAACACCGAAAAATAATTCCATTTTAACTTATGTTTACATTTTAATAGGAAAAATCCGAGTTCAAAATCCTTTTTTTTTTTTTTTTATCTTAATCTGTTTTGAACCGATATCTAAATGAATAATAGATACAAATATAAAGGTAAATTTAGTGGAATTTAGCCAAAAACGTCACCATGTTTCTCTCTTCTATGAGTTTCGTTGTTTTTTTTTTTTTGGAAATAATTATAATTTATTTGTTTTTGCAATTTAAAATAAATTCATCTTAAATAACTAATTGCAACAAATCTAATTTTATAATTACTCCAATATATACAAATCCAACCGTGGGTTGCCAAATGTATAGTTTTCGTATCTAAATATAACATTAATCATAATATGTAATTGATTTCTAGCTATACATAAATTATATAATGAAAAACTCTTTTTTTACTTGAACAAATAAATAAAATTATTCAAATCAGACATGAAATAAAATATAGAAAAAATAAGGAAAAAAGTCACAATGCACGTGAAATAAAACCAAAAGAAATTCAACAACAAAATTACAATTATTGAATTATCATTTATATTTATATATTGATAATATCACACTTGATTAAATTGGAACTTTGAAGTTCATTCATCTCTATATACACAATTATATTTATAGTAGCACTCTTTTTAATTTCCTCCAATAATTTAGTCTCTCAATATTATACAATATATATCAATTCAAGAGATATATCATAAAAATGGCATATTAAAAAAAGAAGAGTCTTCATTTCTTTTTGGTTTGAAAACATTGATGTTAATATTATATGTTCATTTAAATATATAGGTTGTAACATAATAGCTAAATATGTTTAGTGTGATTTAAGCTGATGTGTCATGATCAAGCTGACGTGCTAAGCCAGTTTGTAATTTGTTAAATACAAGCTGACTTTTGTTTAACTATGATATTGCGTATATGACGAGAAAGGTAGTGAAAGGAAGTATCATGCATAATACTTCATCATTCATTTGGTTTTAAGTTGTTCAGAATTCGTCATCTTTTAATTTTCTGAAGATCCTCTAAATTTAGGTCTAGCACGTGAATAATCTTTTTTTACATAGAGCATGAACATCGATTTGTACTTCTATAGACTAAAATTTATTTCATCAAAACGATCTAATTTTACTATGTCATGATCCACCATTTGAAACGAAGTTTCTAATATGGGATTAATATAAATTACTCAGACAATAAAAATTAGAAATGACATATTTAATTAAAAATAATAATTAAATACATTGAAATTCTGATTAACTTTATGTATTTCAGCCAAGACGATTTATTTATTTGACGGAGAATAAAAACAAAAATGAAAAAGCTTATCCACCGAGCACATGGGTTAGGCTGGTGGAATTTCTTAGGCAAGACAAGACGATTGGGTCTTAACAATTCAATGATAATGAATGCTGGTCCAGTAATTGTATTTTATCTTTCTTCCACGCCCAAATTGGTTAGGCTTTGCCGACTTTCTTAAACTAGACAAGACGGTGGGGTCTTAACAATTCTAATGAGTAATGAATGCTGGTCCAACCATTTTATTTTTATCTTTCTTCCACTCCCCCTCCATTAAATTGCCGATGACCCCTTGTTGGTACAAATTTATATATTTTAAAAATTGGTTGAAATGTGCTATTATGTATTAGTTTTTTTAAGTTACACTATTTATTGTGCTGAAGATATATATATATATATATATATGTATATAACTTTTTATGATATTAATTTTTGAGATGAATTAGTTTTTTGAAAAGTGTTTTGACTTCTGAGAAATGTGATTTCATTTTTTCTATAAAGTAAAGCAAGTGACTTCATTTCATCCAATAAGAATATTTGAAAAAATGAAAAATGAGAAGGTGTGAGGCACCTATTCAACATAAATGCAAACTAATATGTACATTTAAATTTTGTCTTTATTGGGCCAACAACAAATTGCAATAAGTAAAAAATTTTGTCTATTTATTAGGAAATGAGCAATGACATTAAATTTGATATGAGATTTTAAATTTAATATTTACTTAATTTGTTGTTAGGTTTACATGTTTTATTTATATTTAATATCTTGAAACTTTGATTTAAACAAACATATAAAAAATTTATTTTAGTCACTCTATAAAATCATATAGTGAAAATAACAGTATATAAAAGAAGTGGGAACAAGACCACCGAAAAGATCCTCTTTTTTTTTTTTTTGAGTAATTTTGTCATTTTATGTTATTAACCAGTCTTAACTCTAAACTAGTTTTTCACTTGTACATTAAATTGCCGATGACCTCTTATTGGCACAAATTTATATAGTTTAAAAATTGGTTGGAATGTGCTATTATGTATTAGTTTTTTAAGTTACACTATTTATTGTGCTGAATATATATATATAATAGTGTGTGATATAAAATTATAAAATTATTTTTAAAACTTCTTATGATATGAATTTTTGAGATGAATTAGTTTTTTGAAAAGTGTTTGACTTTTCAGAAATGTGACTTCATTTTTTGATAAAGTATTTTGTTGTTAGCCCAGAAAAGATACCTGGTCCCTTTGCTTCAAACCTTTTTAGTAGTAGGCCAGGCAAGCAGGCTAACTCGTGGAGGTTCCAAATGGCAGCATCTTGTTTTGTCAATATGAGGATTATTAAATATAATTAAAAAAAAAAAAAAAAGCATTATAGCACACTAATTTTTTAGCTCAATTAATCTTTTTTTTTTTTTTTTTGTCTCTCTCTCTCTCAATTCATCTAGGAGAGGGAATAGGACTACTGAAAAGATTTTTTTTTTTTTTTGAGTGATTTGTCATTTTGTTCTATTAACGAGTCTCGACTCTAAATTAATTTTTTATTTGCGCTAAACCACAAATCAAATAGAAGATATAGAATTATTTTAAAAAATAGTTTTAGTTTAATGGTATGCGTTATAATGTGAGGTTACTAAAATATATCAACTCAAAAAAAAAAAAAAAACTACTATTATTATTTTTAAAATTTTTGTTTAACTAATTATTTGTTATGTTTTTTTATAAATTTTCTACTAAAAAGAACACCGTTTATTCTTCCATATCTGGATTTTTAACTAAAAGTTTTTCTTATAATTTTTTTCAAATATAAGACAAATTATCTAAAAAAATTAATCTTTATATATATATATATATATATATATAGACACACACACACCCCATGGCATTATCATATAAAAATTAAAAGAATTCGTGGCATAAATTACATCAAAAAAATTTAAAGAACAAATAACAATATTTTAAAAATTCGTTAAAAAATTCATACGTAGGTCTCTCTCTCTCTTGGTTTCTCTCTCCTCTTAGCTAGCAACCAGATTACAATATAAATAAAATTATAAATCGAAATAAAAGTTAATGAAAAAAATGAGGGGTGAAAGACTAATATGAGTAAAACTTTACTTATAAAATGCATGAAAAAACCTCAAAATTACTAAAAAAATCATTCAATGTACAATAAAATGGAGGTGAACAATAAAATGGAGGTGAACAATATTGTAGATGGAATAAGTACTTGAAAAACACTTAAAATAACAAAAATGCTATTGATTTAAAATTATAAAAATACCATCAAATGAATAGTGTTATGTAAGTATGTGAATAGTCTAAAAATAATAAAAACCCTACCTCTTTTAGGGTTTTTTTTTTTTTTTGGTAGTTATCCCTGGCTAGAAAGTCCTATAAATAGGAGTGCACATCTCATCACCTCCCAATACATCCCAAGTTAGCTTCGAAATCAAATTTCAATTGCATTCAAGTGGGTTTCATAATTTTGATGGAGTTTCATCTCCTTCTCATATTTACTTTACTTTCTGTGAGTATATTCACTTTCTTGCAACATTTGTGTTATTATTTTAAGAAAAGCATGTCTCACCCATATAACAAACATAGATTTTATATAGTTAATGTTTTGAAATTGGTAACCCGCCCCTCCTAGCTTGGTAACACACATATCTCCGTTTCCATGTTGCTGTGCTACTTTTTGACACTTTCCTTAACCTTATGGCAGCTGCTGCTAGCAGTGAATGATGCTTCTTTACCAGCTGAGGACTACTGGAAAACAGTGTTGCCAAAAACTCCATTTCCGCAAGCTCTTGAAGGTCTTCTTCAGCATCATGGTGAGTTTAAAATTTGAACTCCAAAACCAGAATATTGTGTTTAAGATTGTCAAACTGTAGATCTATTAGAAAATAGCTTTATTTTCCACCTTGGCGTGGCCTTATATAAATACAGTACGCTTAATGCCTCCTTTTTGTTTTCCCCTCCATTCCCATCCCCCTTCATTAAAAAATTTCTTCCCATATAAGTTTAAAATGTCATTAATCTCCATTATCTCTTCCTCTCCATTCTCTTCTTTTTCAAATTAATTATTAAATTTTTTACTTGAAATAATTGTTTGATATGATATTAGAATTTTAATGATTATACGATTATGAGTTTGAACTTTTCTACCTTCAATTTTTCTCTAATTAAATTAAAAATTTTAGTACAAGGTAGCACGATTTTTTACTAATTTGAAATCTAATTTTTTTTACTTAAGTGTATTAGATAGTTAATATAAAACTATTCTTAAGATTTATCCAATAGTTTAATTTTTTGATAGAGATGGTTTGTTCGCACTTTTTCAAATAGCTGCAAGATAAGTTTCTTTTTCATATTTGCAAGTCATTTTGTATAAAAAAAACTTGTAAACTAAAAAAACAAAATTCTCAATGAAATGAAGAAATTTTTTATTATTTTCCTTTAGTTTTATTCTACCTATTGCCTAGTTTAAACATTTTTTTTTTTACCTCAATAGAACAAGAAATAGAGCCATTTTGCAGGGAACACCAAAAGCAAAAATGAGGGATACAGACTTGAAATAAAAGCGTACTCTACAAATCTTTAAATAATAATAATAATAAATAATAAAACTGGGCATCATAATTGAGACACTCATAAGTGAGAATAACAAACATATATATTATGCGTATGCATGGTCTTAATGCACTTTTCTTTTTTTAATCTTCAAATTCAACTAGGTATGAAAAGTGAAAGTACTTTTGTGGATGATAACATGGTCTTCAATAAGCGAAGAAATACAGCATACAAAAGTCGATACAACAAGACCTATAACAAGACTCGTGATCCTATTACAACCGAAGAATCCATGCAAGATGAGGTTGCAACTAATGATGGTAAAGAATATACATTTAGAATAGAATAATAACGTATATATAGCATCGATGTTTTCTTTTCTTAAAGGTAAATTTCAATTTCAACTAGGTATGAAAAGTGAAAGTACTTTTTTGGAAGATGACATGGCCTTCAATAAGCGAAGAAATACAGCATACAAAAGTCGATACAACAAGACCTATAACAAGACTCACGATCCAAGTTACAATCAAAAAATCCATGAAATATGGGATTGCAACTAATGATGGTAAAAAATATACATTTAGAATAGAATAATAATGTATATATAACATGTTTTCTTTTCTTATATGTAAATTTCAATGTCAATCGAGTATGAAAAATGAAAATACTTTTTTGGAAGATGACATGGCCTTCAATAAGCGAAGAAACACGAGCATACAAAAGTCGATACAACAAGACCTACAACAAGACTCGCGATCTAGTTGCAACCAAAGAATCCATGAAAGATGAGGTTTCAACTAATAATGGTAAAGAATACACATTTATAATAGAATAATAATGTATATATAGCATCCATGTTTTGTTTTCTTATATGTAAATTTCAATTTCAATTAGGCATAAAAAGTGAAAATACTTTTTTGGAAGATGACATGGCCTTCAATAAGCGAAGAAATACAGCATACAAGAGTCGATACAATAAGACTTATAACAAGACTCGTGATCCGAGCTTACAACCAAAGAATCCATGAAAGATGGAGTTGCAACTAATGATGGTAAAAAATATATATTTAGAATAGAATAGTAATGTGTATATAGCATCCATGTTTTGTTTTCTTATATGTAAATTTCAATTTCAATTAGGTATAAAAAGTGAAAATACTTTTTTGAAAGATGACATGGCCTTCAATAAGCGAAGAAATACAGCATACAAAAGTCGATACAACAAGACCTATAACAAGACTCACGATCCAGTTACAATCAAAAAATCCATGAAAGATGGGATTGCAACTAATGATGGTAAAAAATATACATTTAGAATAGAATAATAATGTATATATAACATGTTTTCTTTTCTTATATGTAAATTTCAATGTCAATCGAGTATGAAAAATGAAAGTACTTTTTTGGAAGATGACATGGCCTTCAATAAGCGAAGAAATACAGCATACAAAAGTCGATACAACAAGACTTATAACAAGACTCACGATCCAGTTACAATCGAAAAATCCATGAAAGATGGGATTGCAGCTAATAGTGGTAAAGAATATACATTTAGAATAGAATAATAATGTATATATAGCATCTATGTTTTCTTTTCTTATATATAAATTTCAATTTCAACTAGGTATGAAAAGTGAAAGTACTTTTTTGAAAGATAACATGATATTCAATAAGTGAAGAAATACAGCATATAAAAATCGATACAATAAGACCTACTAACAAAACTCACGATCTAGTTACAACAAAAAAAACTAAGAATATATATATATCCTTAATTAATTTTCAATTTTAAATAAATAAAAAAAAAGTGAAAGTATTTTCCTTTCTTTAAAAAAAAAAAGATGACATGATCTTCAATAAGTGATGGCGTAGAACATAGATTTAGACTAATTATTAATATTTGTGATTTGCAATTTGGACCAGATAAGAAGGCAATTGAAGGTACTTTCTCTGATGATGCTGATGTTATCAACGATTGGATTGATGAAAATGATGACCTCGCCGATACAACTATATTCTACTTATACCGTGATCTCTATCCTGGTAAAAAGATGAAATTGCTTTTCAACAATGCTGGAAGTAGAGCTGGTTTCTTACCTCGAAAAATGGCTGAGTCCATACCATTTTCAAGTGACAGTGTGCCTAAAATTTTAGAGCACTTTTCACTAAAGACTGATTCAGCAGAAGCAGATATTATAACAAATACCATAGATGAGTGTGAGTACCCAAAAATGAAAGGGGAAGAAAAATATTGTCCTACATCTTTAGAATCCTTAATTGATTTCGTTGTTGCAAGGCTTGGCAGAAATGTTATGGTGCTTTCAACTCAATCCGGCAAGAAACAAGAATATACTGCTTTAACAGGAGGCAAAATGATCGGAGATAGAGCAGTGATATGCCACAAAGAGGTATATCCATATGCTGTGTATTATTGCCACGAAATCGAGGACACCAAGGCTTTTATGGTTCCATTGGTGGCTGCTGATGGTACTAGAGTTAAAGCAGTGACTATTTGCCATGAAGATACATCTACTTGGAGCCCAGAGCACGTGTCATTTGAACTTCTTAAAGTTAAACCTGGAGTGCCTATTTGTCACTTTCTAGCCAATGATACCCTTGTTTGGGTTAAAGCTAAAGATGCAGGATGGGACCTCATCACCCATCTAGCAATGCCTATCATTGATCAGTAATTAAGGTGTGGATTTAATGTAAAAAGTTGTATCATCTCCTCCAATTGACTTTTTATGACATCCTAAATAAGGAGGTAGTGTTAAGCGTATCTATTCCAGTTTGAAATCGGAGTGCTTGAATGATGTAATAAACTGTTTGTGTATTTTAGTTCAACAAAACTTTCGAGTCTTTCCTACTCAATTAAGTTTCTTAAATTCCTATGCTTGAATTTTTTGTGTTTTGTTGTCATTTGTGTAGGTATTTCCTTATAGCTCAACTAACATGCATGAGTATCCTTCTATTTTGTTTTGGATTTTATTTTTACCCTCCTCGAATAAGGAGACTTTGAAATAAAAATATTATATGAAGGTTAGAAGGCAGTCTACAGAGTAGTCTATCTCCCTATCCGACTTTAACTTAAATGGCTAAAATTGCTATATATGTGTGTGTGTGATAGCTAAATACTTTATGTGAGTATGGATGATTATCGTTTTTTTACTTGGATTCAAACCTAGTAAATGACTATTTGAGAGCCATAGAGCAGAAGAAAGAAAAGAGGTTAGTCAGAATTGAGGGTCCAGAGCCAAAAGATGAGAGGATCCTCATTCCTCATATTCGGACAGCCTTCCCCTACCCAGCTTATGTGATCAACCGGAATGAAGAGATAATAGACTTAAGGGCAGAAAATGAAGGTTTGTCCATCAACAATTATAAGCTGAGGAAGAAAGAAAAGTTGAAGAGATCATTTATCATGAGTCGGTGGTGGTCGTTCCCCAGATTATGATCCTTATGGGTTTCTGCTGATGCTTGTTGGGGATCTTTAGCCTGTTCGATGGTGTTGCTGATAACATGGTTTGTTCAAATAAAGATGAAGAATGTGCACTTCATCTGTGTGCTCTTCTCTTCGTTCGCGCTGGTGATTCATTTGGCTTTTCATTGTTTGTTACTGCTTTGGTATCTTGTTCCAATGCCCTGGGCTAATTGTTTTCCATTTTCCTAGATTTGCTTATTATGTTTTCTTTTCAACCTGTTATTTGCGCTCTCGTTGTTGGTCTTTGCTTTGGTTTCTTACTGTGAGGCTAATTCTGTTGGGTCAGATCTTCTACAATAGTTGATTATTTGCAGAGTTTGGCTTGAGGCTGGATGTGGCTATCTTGTTTAATCCCTCATGCCTTAATTTTCTTAGCTAGCTATTTATGGCTTTCTGGCTTGCTTTCAGCAGCCATTATATTTGTGAATAAATTGTCATTAATAAATTGATACTTAATGATCTAATAATAAACATTTTCTCACACGAGATATCATAATGTTTGTTTTTCGTTGGCACCGAGGGAGCCCACGCATAGAAGAAACTCACCTCGTAAGTCTTACGTCCTCAGTGAAGCAAAAACAAGGATAACATAGAGGAAATGATCAAATATATCTAATGTCGATTCATGTTTTTTTTTTTTTTTTAATAAACAAAGCTTTTAACCCAAATCGATGTACAATTTTTTCTAATATTTGAACTTTCTTGGGTTTTTTTTTTTTTTACAATAATATTTGAACTTTCCCAATACTTAGTGTTGTGGTCTTCTGATTTATGTAAACAATTGGACTCATGCACACAGATACTTGGAGTTCTTTTCTTCTACGCACCAAACCTTATTGGGCTGGAAGAGTTATATACCTTGACAACTTGGGTCAGAATATCTAAATGATGAAAGTTCAAAAATAATGTTATTTTTCCTTGAAAAGACAGGGAAGTGAAGGAGATTCAAGAAAGTTTTCGATTTATAGCATTGTTTTTTGGCAGCAAATTATTTTTCTTTCTGATAAAAGTAAAGCATTTGACTAATGAAGGACATTTGATCCAATTACAAAGAAGCAATAACCTCTTCTTCTTCTTTCCTTTTTAATGCATATCGGTAGATAAATATTGTCTCTTTGTTTGGTTTAACTATTATTATTAACTAAAAATTTCTTTAAAAAATTTAATATCTAGTATTTTGAATTAATTTTTTTTTCACATATGCGAATAAAAAAATCAATCTACTTTCAAAAATAATTTTAAAATTTTTTTAGTTCAAAAGGTATTTTTAAATTTTTCTAAACATTAAATATTTACCAAATTACAAAAAATAATAATAATAATAATAAATAATTTGGAATGATACTATATATTCTTATGGCCCAAAAATCATATAAATTTATCTAACTAGTTTAAAATATTTTTCATAGTCGAATGCATGGTACTTAATCAAGTTTAAAATAAGTTAATTTTGGGAATCATATATGTAAAAAAATTTAGAATTGTACTAAAATTATGTATGTAAATTGGTATAATTACTTTCTTAGGGCTCTCAAAAACATTTGAAATAATTCGAATTTATTTTCTATTTTTCATAATTTATTGAATGTTTGTTGTCTAGAAAATAATATATATATATCAGCTTTAAAAAATTTTGAAATTATTTATGTAAAGGGATTGAATTTTAACTAGCATCTTTGAAAATTTTCAATTGGAAGTACCAACATATGAACTTTTTAAGGTGAGTTTTGATCGACTCTCAGAGTTTAATCCGATAACATAACAATTAAATCAAAATGAGATACAATATTTATTCAAAATATAATAAGTTAAGAATAAAATTAAATGAATTAATAATACAGAAATATTGCAGCAGCAAAGTAAGAAAACATATTAAAGAAAAAATAGAATAAAATCGAAAGAATAATGGACTGGGCCTGCTTGATTTGGGTGGCTAGCGTAGGCCTCTGGCATGGTTTAATCTTTTCCGATGGAAGAAGTAAAGGCAAAATTCAAAATAGAATAATGCTGACAAGTCTTTCACCTGAACAACTTCTTATACGTTAAGCTTTTCTCTCAGATTTCTAAGATGACCTGAAACCTTTGGATTCGTTTTTGCACCATTTTCAGCAATAAAACACCTTAAAATAATTTCATTTTAGCTTTTGTTTACATTTAAAAAAAAAATCCGAGTTCAAAACCCATTTTTTGGATCTTAATCTATTTTGATTCGATGCACGGAATGAATAATAGATACAAATATAAAGATAAATTTAATGAAATTTTGCAGAAAAAAAAAAAAAAAGCATCAACATGATCTCTCTTCTATGGGTTTTTGTTTTTGCAATTAATTATAATTTATTTGTTTTTACAATTTAAAATAAATTCATCTTAATTAACTAATTGCAACAAATATAATCTTATAATTACTCCAATTTATACAAATTCAACCGTGGGTTGCCAAATTCATAGTTTCGTATCTAAATATAACATTAATCATAATTCTAGCTATACACAAATTATATAATTAAAGACTATTTTTTTAATTGAACAATAAAATAAAATTATTCATCTCAAACGTGAAATAAAATATAGAAAAAGCAAGGAAAAAGGCACAATACACGAGAAATAAAACCAAAAGAAATTCAAAAACAAAATTTTAATTATTGAATTATCATTTATATTTATATATATAGAGATAATCCTTTTATCCGCTCCTTGACCATCACACTTGATTAAATTGGAACTTTGAAGTTCATTCATCTCTATATACACAATTATATTGATAATAACACTCTTTTTAATTTCCTCCAATAATTTAGTCTCTCAATATTATACAATATATATCAATTCAAGAGATATATCATAAAAAAGGCATATATATATATATATATATATATATATATATATATAAAGAATGTTCATTTCTTTTTGGTTTGCAAACGTTGATATTAATATCATATGTTCATTACATATATAGGTCGATGGTCATTTTAAAAGTATGATATGTTGGTTCGGCAATAATATTATGAACTTCAAAATAATATAAGTATCATCATTAAATATTTCATTGTGAAACTTGTGTCTCTTCTTCAATATTAAATCACAAAGAATCAAATACAAAACTATATTTTGAGAATTTATATTTTATCACTTTGTGTAGTTGAATTTCCGTAGGCTAAAATTAATCTCAATATATGTAATAAATTATGGTATAATTGAGTAAATCAAGTTTTTTTTCCTTTTTCTGAACATAGCAAGTATAGTAAGTAAAGTGCTGTGAAACCAAATTTAATGTTGAAATCCAAATCCAATGGCGGATTGGTATTATTTTTTATTCGATTTTGGCTTTTTAAATTTACTAACAACTTATAACTAAAGAGTTTATATTCTACCGACAATAATCTCTTATAATAAAAAGTTACGGATAGAAACTTTAGATGTGTGTTTTAAAACAGAAACAATCTATATTTAGTATTACACAAAAAATAAAAAAAGTTTTTTTGTTAAATCTTTAATCTGATGAGTCAAAATTGTTTTTCTTAGCATTCCAACTTTTAGAACTTTTTGTGTCACAAAAACGAGAAAACCTTTTCTTCTTCTCGGTTTCACATAAGAGTATTGAAAGTGGTAAATGTTCTTTTCATCACCTGCTTTTTAATATGAACTAGGTCTTTGACCATCTATACATCTGATGAAAAGGGATCCCTGAGCCCAGATATTCTTTGTACCAAACCTTATTGGGCTGGAAGAGTTACATACCTTGAGAACTTGGGTCAGACTATATATCTGATGAAAGGTCAATAATAATGTTATCTTTCCTTGAAAATATTTTTTCTTTTCTGTTTTTTCATTGGAAAAGAATGGCAAATTATTTTTCCTTCTAATCAGAGCAAAGTATTTGACTACCAAGGGACAATTGGCCCAATTACAAATAAACAAGAAGCTCAAATTACACAGATCGTAGACTGGGTGAAGCTAATTAAGCAAAGCAGAAGTCAAATAAAAATGAACTGAATTTTTCTTATATGTTAATTAGAACTCAATCTACTTTCAAAAATAATTTCAAAATTTTTTAGGTTAAGAAATATTTTTTTATTTTTTTCTAAACATTAAATATTTACCAAATTATAAAAATAGAATATAGTTTGAAATGATTTTTTTTTTTGAGGGCCTAAAATCAAATATATATTTGTTTAGTTTAAGTATGATACTCAAAATATTTTTACGATCGAATGCATGATACCTAACTAATCTTAAAATAAGTTAATTTTGAAAACCATATATGCAAAAATCCTTAAAATTAAATAATTTCATTTTAGCTTATGTTTACATTTTAAAAAAGAAATCCAAGTTCAAAACCCTTTTTTTTTATCTTAATATATTTTAAACTGACGTCTAAATGAATAATAGATGCAAATATAAAGGTATATAAAGGTGAATTTAGTGGAATTTTGCCAAAAACATCAACATGTTTCTCTCTTCTGTGAGTTCCCTTTTTTTTTTTTTTGCAATTAATTATAATCTATTTGTTTTTGCAATTTAAAATAAATTCATCTAAAATAACTAATTGCAACAAATCTAGTTTTATATTACTCCAATTTATACAAATCCAACCATGGGTTGCCAAATTTGTAGTTTTCATATTTAAATATGACATTAATCGTAATCTATAATTGATTTCTAGCTATACAAAAATTATATAATTAAAAAAAATTAATTGAAAAAATAAATAAAGTTATTCATCTCAAACATGAAATAAAAATATAGAAAAATAAGGAAAACGGAACAATACACTTGAAATAAAACCAAAAGAAATTCAACAACAAAATTTTAATTATTGAATTATCATTTATATTTATATATTGATAATTATTTTATCCATTGATTGACCCTGAAACTTGATTAAATTGGAACTTTGAAGTTCATTTATCTCTATATACACAATTATATTTATAACAACACTCTTTTTAATTTCCTCCAACAATTTAGTCTCTCAATAGCATACAATATATATCAATTCAAGAGATATATCATAAAAATGGCATATATATAATAATAATAATAAAAAAAAGAGAGAGAGAGAGAATGTTCATTTCTTATTGGTTTGAAAACATCGATATTAATATTATATGTTCGTTTAAATATATAGGTTGATGGTCAATCTAAAAGCATTATATGTTGGTTTGGCAATAATATTATGAACTTAAAAATAATATAAATTATCATCATTAAATATTTCATTGAGAAACTCGTTTCTCTTCTTTAATATTAAATCACAAAGAATTAAATACAAAACTATGTTTTGAGAATTTATATTTTATCATTTGTGTAGTTGAATTTCCAAATTAACGTCAATATATGTAATAACTTATGATATAATTGAGTAAATCAAGTGTTTTTCTAATTTTTTTTCTGAACGTAGTAAGTAAAGTGCTGTTATACCAAATTTAATGCTGAAATCCAAATCTAATGCGAAGTCTACTCTCCGGTTTCTATTAGAGTATTAGTTTTTATTCGGAATCCATGAATTGATGTATATATATATATATATATATAAACATTTAATTTTATGGTGTCAATAAATAATGAAATGACTAATATATTCTCATTGATAAATTATGATAAATTACGAAAATACTTGGCATTCCTATTTTGTGAATATTATACTTTATAGCTCCAAGTTTAATAGATAATAGCATGATACCCTCATGGTTCTTAAAATTTGTTTCTATGTGAGTCTTAAAATTAATCTATTTTAAACTTGATTGGATGTTACGTATTCGATTATTAAAATATTTTAGGAATAATATGTACTAAGATTAAGAGATAAATTTATATGATTGTTTTAGGATCTTTAACAAAATTTGGAATTATTTTTTATTTTTTTACAGTTTTGTTAATATTTGATGTTTAAGAAAATTTTGAAAATGTTGCTTGACCTCAATTTTTTTAAAAAATTATTTATGAAAGTAGATTGAATTTTTTGGAATATTTGAAAATTTTCAGCTCAAAATACGAAAATATAATTTTTTTTAAGGGAGATTTGGTCAAATTAAAAGAAGAGACAATATTTATTCAAAATATGATAGTTTAAAAATAAAATTAACCAAATTGATAGTACAAGTCTCAATTAGCAACAATTTCAATAGTTTAAGGACAAAAACATTAAACTAATTTTCTAACTACTATATTTGATTTTGAAAATGAAAACAAATTCGGGGGCGTTATAGCCATTAAAATAGTCATTTCACATGCAAAATGTCCACTTGTAATTATTTAAAAGTTATCTCAGGACAGAGACCGAAGTTAGAAAACGAAATCAAATTGTAAGATGCACTGTGTTATAAAATATAAAACTTTAGGGTGCAAAGGGTTTTTCACTGTCAAAACATAAAGTGGTCATCAAATTTATCCAAAATTAAATTTAACAATAAATTAATGGGTTAATGTATCCAATCTACACTTATATCTTAGGCATATTTTTCACATACCTTTTTTAAGAATTTTTTAACTCTAATTTGCCCTTGTGTATTCATATTTTCTCTTACGTATCTTTTTGTTATGTTTTGGACAAAATAAAAAGCCCTTACAACTTACAACAAATAAAAAATTAATTTTGAAAAGTAAAAAAAAAAAAAACAAAATTTAACTTAAAAATTATTTAAAAAAAAAGGTGAAAAAGTCCTCAAAGCGTAAAACGTTAAAAACCTAGAAAGAAAATAAAAATTGCAAAAAGTCTAAAACAAAATTGTAAAATCTAAAAAAAAATAAATCATGTCCATAAAACCTTGCAAACAATATTATAAATACGGAAACAAAATAAGTTTTACAAGATATGGATTTTTCAATTTTTTCATTAGTTATCAATTTTTTTATATAAAAAAAAATCATGGGTTATTTAAATTGTTTTGGGATGTTCCAAGTTTTTACCTTTCTAGCTTTCTTATTTGTTCAGGGTTTTTCTAAATGTCTTTGTATTTTATGGGTTTTCACAAGTTTTAAGCTTTTTAAAAATAATCTTTTCATTTTATTATGCTTTAAAAATTAAAATTTATTTTAGAGGTCTTAAGGGCTTTTTTTTTGGGACAAAATGTACCAAAAGCTGTATAAAAATAAAGATATAAATATATAAAGTCATGAGAGTGAAAAATTCTTGGAAAAACATATACAAAAATAAACCTAATATATAAGGATAGACGGATCAATTAAACCTAAATTTATTTTAGAAGATTAATCGTTCCTATCTTGTGAGGAAAGCTCTGGCTCGTAATGTAGGGAGGAACTGCTTGAAAAAGACTAGCATCCATCTTCATTAATATGTGCCTGCTGTGGAATTTTGAGTTGTCCCATTCACCTAGCTAAGAGATTCTCAATTCTTGTGGCCATGCATTAGCCATAACACAAAGTATGTCCTCGATGAAGCAAAAATTAGGATAATATGAAGGAGTGGAAGAGAAAACAAAAAGGGCCATTGAAAAGAAATAAGTAAATATAATCGATGTCTACTCATGTTTTCTCTTTTCTTTTGCTTTTTATGACAAGGCTTTTAACCTAAATCGATCTCCAATTTTTTTCTAATATTTGAATTTTTTAAATACTTGGTGCTGTGGTCTTCTAATTTAACTAAAATTTTGGGCTTTTCTTGTACAACAGAAAGGGAAAAAGTGGTGAAAGTTTTAAATTCTAGATTTAACGCCTATAATTAATACTCCTATCTCGTTGAATAGAAAACCAAAATGCTTATTTTTCATATAAAAAAATAATACGCAATTTATATTTATTACAAAATAATTGTTTTTCATCTCATCAAAAATTTTCAGAGATGTATTTTCTCAAAATATCTCCAATTAAAATTTATTTTATAAAAAAATTATTCAAATATAATTCTAAAAAAATATTTTTGAAAAATATGAAAAAAAATATTGATATGATGCGATAATTGATAACCTTGTTAATTTGTATGAAAAAAAAACATCTCTTTAAAACAAAAAACTAATAATAATAATAATAATAATAATAATAAGAGTAAATTATAAATTAGTCTCTCTCCTTCATTTGAGAAATGAATTAACTAGTTTCTTTTATTTCGAAAACTAATTTTTTGTCTTCATATTTTAAAATCTACTTATAAATTAATTTTTTTCAATTTATTTTGAATTTTTTATTTTAAAAAGTAGAAAAAGAAAATAATATGGAAAGATTGATGAAAAAAATATATTTTATAAAATAAAAATAATATTAAATTAAATATAATCAATATTAATTAAATAATTAAATAATAATTTTTAAAATAAAAAAAATCATTCAATCATTTCTTAAAACTAGAACGATTAATTTATAATTTATTCGAATAACAAAGTAAAAGCACAAGGAAAGGAAGTCAAAACTCAATAAAGAAAAACGTGAAAATCTGACCACAACAACAACCCTCTAAAGAGATATTATTGTAAGCCACAAATTCATGATGATTGACCATACAAACACATCAAAATAATGAGCAAACCAAAGTGACCCCACCGGACCCACACACCACCACCACCCAGCCAACCAAACGAAGAAGATGTGGATAAATCTAGGGCAAAAACAGCGATGGCCAAACATGGCATAAGCATATTGCATAGGACTGGCAAATTTTTGGCATTGGATGGTAGAAGAAGGAATATCTTAGAGAAAGATCATACCCTCTCATTTCAGTGTTGACCATAAACCTTCCACGTTAGGTGGCACCTGGCTTTGCCTAAATAGCTTCATCGTCTCCACCCCATTTGCTTCCCTACAAGAGCTTTGCTCTCATGGAACTCATCTCATTGTTTCCGTCCTAAGCTCTGTGTTGACATGTGTGACACTTGTACATCCATCCATCATTTTCATACCCTTTTCCAAATTGGCTATAAGAAAATTGTAAGAGATAAAGTTTCCAAGATAAAAGAGCATGGAGGGAGAGCTATTTTTTCTTTTTTTCCTAATTTTACTTGTATGTTATCATCTTACCTTGAAGATATCACTAATCATTTTTTAGACAGAAACAATAAAATTTAATTTTTCATAATAAATATAATTTAAGAATTCAAATATTATATATTAATAAAAAATTCATCGATTTTATTCTACGTCAATAATTTATTGATTGAAGGAGAGCTATTTGTGTGGAGAAACTATGTTGTGAATTTAAACTTTCGAATGTAAACGATTTTGAGGTATAAAAATTTATCTATTAATATTTCAACATTTAAAATTAGAGAGAAAAAAAAGTCAGCTACGGCAATAGCATTATCGTTATCTTTTTAGACAATTTAAACTGTTTAATACCACTGAACTTATAGTTCAATGGTACTTTTGGAAAAGATTAGAAAAAATTATATTCGAGTTTCACCTTTTTAAAAAATTTAATAAAATTAAACACATTCAATTTTTTTTTTTTTTTACTGAGGATGAAAAGTTAATAAGTCAGCTTTATATACTATTTTTTTTTTTTAGTTGAATCTTAGATAAAGTAATCACAATCAAATCAGTGCATTTAAAAAAATTTGAAACAACTTTGTTTTATTTATTTCTTTAGATTCGCGGTACTATAAATTACAAAATAAAAGTGTTCGTTTGGTACTAAATAACCCTTCAATATAATAAGAAAATTAAGTCAGATAATCTCATTCCACTTTATGTGCACGTGAATCGATAGTTCATTAGCTTTAGCTCCTATTTTGGAATTATGTGACTATACAGGTAAAAAGAAGATATTTTCAAATTTGTCATCATTCATTCTAAGTTAAATGATTCCAAAGCTTTCTATAGATTTACTAGTCTCATTTTTAATATATATATATATATTAGTTCAAATTTTTAAGCCATTCTTATATTTTTAAAATAACTCTATTATATGGTTGTTGTTTTAATTAGTCTTTAATCTTTTTATTTTTTATTTTTTGCTAAATCATAAAAAATAACTGCTTTATATTTTTTTTATCAAAATACTCTTCAATAATGGACTTATAGAGTAACCCAATTTGCACATAAAAAACATTTTTTTTAAAAGATATATCATGTGCAAGTCATATAGTCAATTTTTAATGATTTAGCTGAAAAAATTAATCAAAAAAATATATTACAAACTATTTAAAATAAAAAAGACATAACATGATCTTTTGAAAAAAATATAATAATAGATTAAAACTTAGACCATTATATAAAGATAAATAAGACTATTAACCTTTATTTTATAATTTTGATTGAATCCATATACTCTTAATTTTTTAAAAATTTTAATTTGATTATCATAATTTTTTATATATAAATAATTGGTTAATTTAATCAACTTTTCGATATCAACAACATATAAGCGTCAAATGATAGCATTAAAAAGTGCTACGTATTTTACAAGATAATATCTCCATATACATATATGTTGTTTTAAATTTAAATTAGTAAAACACGTATTGCTTTTTAAGATTATTCCGTTACCTCTACATGCAATCAACATTAAATAACCGGATAAAAATATTTATTATTTATTAAAAATAATTCACTTAAATTTTATTAAATTTTTTTAAAAAATTCAAGGCGAATCTTAATTTAACTAAAGTTTCATGATGTTTTGATACCATTTATCCTCTATTCGATTGTGGCAACCTAGAAAATTGATTAGGTTTCCCCTAACATAAATATGCATGACATATCTAAGAACAACTTCTTGTATGTGATTAAAGAATCAACGATAGATAGCAAGGGATTTTCTTCTCGTTTTTCTTTTACCAAAGATTCTTGATTCGGTATATTTTTTCTTAAAATACTAGCAAAAGCAAAAAGAGCTGCCCAGCTAGATTTTCAATGTCGGCCACCTACTACAACAAGAAAATGAAATGGGATCTCCCACTAGATTTTCTTTGTCGATTAATTAGTTTTATTTGCATAGATATTCTTAGTTTTGATTCGAAATATAATAAAAAAGATCTCTCCAGATATATGTAAGTATACAAAAATTCAATAATATTTGTCAAACGTACCACCAAGGAAAGTTTTCTTCATTTGGATAAAACTGAAATTTAATTCTCATTATTTATAACAGCTAATAATAATTATTCTTTAATAAATTCAGGTTTGAATTTATTTGATTTAAAAGAAGACTCGAGATTGATTAAAAATTTAATATATTCTGATACTAGCTTAATTTAAAAAATAAAGCTATCTTGAGAATATCTCGTATCTATAAATATAAAAGAAATATTTGTCAAATGTAGGGTTAATCTATACGTACATTTATTTTTTTATAATAAAAAGAAACAATTTATAAGCCTTTGAAATTAAACTATAATATAAGCTTTTAAAATTAAATTATATTTTAGAAATTATTTTAAAACCTAAGTAGTTGCTCATAAAAAATAAATAGAAAAATAATTTACAAGTAGACTTTTTGTTCTAAAATTTCATACAAACTGATGTGTTAAATGATAAGTGATAACATATGAATTCCATGATTGATAAATAATTAGTCTTCTGCGATAAGAATCCACGCCACATGTGTTTATATGAGAATTTTGTATAAAAGATTTATTTGTATAGTTTTATTGAAAAAATTAAAGCCTCATTGCCATAACTAAATCAATGCATCAAATTACCGTATGAGATCATGATAGATCTAACATGTAGTAAATTAGAAATTAATTTTTTTATTTTCGAAAAAGAATTAATTAGTCTTTTTGTATTTCAAAAACTAATTATTCAATATATTGACTAGTATTTATTGTATTTAATTTAATATTATCTTATTATAAAAAATCATATTTTCTCATCATTTTTTTCATATTTTTTTACTTATTTTTTCTATTCTTAAAAAAAAAACTAAAAGGATTAAATTGCAAGAAAATTTTAAAATAAAAAAATTAAATAATTATTTTTAAAAAGGATTAATTAATTTTTTTTTAAACTAAAGGGACTAATTTATAATTTACTCATTTAAGATGGTTGAAAAAGGCATAAAGTTCACCCAAAACTTAAATGAGATCATCCTCTTCTAATCATTTCTTCCCAACGTGAGACTCTCAAAAAGCACAAAAACAAAACTTGTGGCCTCCAATTTTTTAGAATAAAAAATTAAAAAGAACTAAAATGTGTGGCTACCAATGATATATATCCCTTTTGCGCTTTCTCTTCTTTATGTAGAAAATACACGTGGCAGCGCTGAGAAGCATTGGCGGCAAGTGGTGCTTAGGTGGCGAAAAGTGCAAAAGAAAGGCACCTGGCCTTTTTCTAATCCACAACTCTTGCCCTACCTTCTCTCTCCTTGTCACACTCATTATTTTTTATTTTTCTTTTATTATTGTTTTTAAATGTTGTAGATATTTTAACTTTTTTCTTCATCACAAAAAAAATCAAATTCGGTTTTTCAATAAATATTTTTTTTTCATTTTTAATGATTTTTTTTGGGCGTTACAATTCGCAACTAAGTTCTGAAAATTTTAATAATGACCCTCGGGTGGAATCTATTTTTTTTAAGATATTTTAAATTCAAACGTTAACATTAACTTTTTACTATTCAATTAAAAGAAAAAACAAATAAAGCTATCCAAAGACTTTTTTTATATACAAAAACTTATATTTAAAATTACTTATTTAAATTACTAATTTTTTTTTTGATAAAACCTATTCTTTTGGGTCTTATATTGAATCTATTTAATAACATAATTGCAACATGTTTTATTTTATTTTATCCTATGCTCATATTAAAATTTGACTTTTGAGGCGTAAAACTTATTTTGAAAAATCAAAGCTAGTTATTTTAAAGGAATTAAAATGGTGTTTTAAGTTTTTTAAAAGAGAAAATAGATATTTTTATGTAAACACATATAATATTATCGAATACCTTCATCTAGATTTTTTATAACTTTTTAAATTTAGACCTTTTAATAAAAAAATTAATAATAATGTAAAAAATAAATATATTTATGAAAAATTATTATTTTATACTTCTTTTTGAATTTGAACTTGAGATAATTATATAGGAAATAATTTCAGTTTCAATTTATTTCATTGATTTAACACTTTTTTTTTTCCCTAAATAAATATCTTTTCATAGATAATAATGAATTCGAGGTCTCTAGCAATCACTTTCCACTAACCATATGGGGTATGAATGACAAGTAACGTACTCGCCAATTTAGACCAATCGTGGTTGGGTCTGTGGGCCCTACTGCCTCCCCAATGTGGGGCCTACTAATTCCCTAGTGTGGGGCTTTCCATGTTCATGAAAGATCCACAAAGTACTACACTTTTTTGCTTCTTACAGTTTCCAGTGATGTGTAGGAGAAATAAAAAGAAAAATAAAACGAAAAATGATATTTCTACAAACACTTTTAGTCAAAGAAAAAGGTGGGAAACAGTTGCAATTATTGAAAATTCATCCTCTCAGATTTCCTAGATTTTTTTATGAGGAATATATTGATAAAAAATTAAGTTGGCTTGAACAAGACCAGCTCCTAATATTTGTCTCCTTGCAATCGAAAAAAAGAACTAAGAAATTAGGTATCATTAATGTGAATTTTACAAAATTTGATATACTTAAATTCAGAAATTATCATTCTTATATTTACATTGCCATTTTTTTTTAATTTTCCGCATATCAAATTCATTTTTTAAGTAATCAGCTTTTTTTTTTTTCAAGATATCTTTATTCTGCATTGAAAATAGAATCAATTATGCTCAAAACATGATGGTTTTTTTTTTTTAATTTTTCACACGTCGAATTTATTTTTTTAAGCAATCGGATTTTTTTTCCTTCAAAATATACTTATTTTGTATTAAAGATAATGTTAATTCTATTCAAAATAAGAATGATAAAATTTAATTTTTTTTCAATAAATACGTTTTTAAAATTCAAATTATATATATTATTAAAAAATTCGGTTGAAAATCTTACTAGTTCACTTAGCACTTGAAATAACTTACTCGTTAAACAAGGTTAAAATGTTAAGGTTTCTTGGAAAATCTTAAGAAGTCAAGGGTCATTTTTTAGTAAGGTTATAAATACATAATTTATTTACTTTTTATGCAAAAAAATAAACATTAAAATTTACCTTTTTCTCTTCTTTAACACTAACAACCACCCGCTAATAAAGTTTTTTTTTTTTTTTTTTTTTAAAAACACACCTTGTCAACACGTTACAAAAACAAATTTTATTCATAAAATTTTTTTGCCACAAGTAATAACTAATTTTTTCCTCCCCACAATAATTGCTAGGCCTAAGTGAACCATTTAATCTTATCAACAAGCAAAAAGCCTCTAGAATCACTATTACCTTTTCTTTTTCTTCATCTTCTTTCTTCTCTATTCCTAAAGGAAAAAATTATACAAAATAAATAAATAAAAATCTAAAAAGAGTTGTGGAGTAAAACGTGGCAATAATATAGTGGCCAGTATATGGATAATAGAGAAAATTTTATCCATAAAAAAGAAAAAAGAAAAAAAAATGGTCTCCGTTTTTCTCTCCACCGAATTAAGCATGCTTGCCTAATAAAAAGGGTAGAACAAAAACAAAAACGAAAACCCAGATGCCACGTGTACTGCTGCTCTTTTGACGTGAGCCACAAGATTCCATTCAATTCTCGAGCTTTCTATCTTTTCAAAAAATAAAAAAATAAAAAATAAAAAATTACTTCTGACGTGGCATCCTTTCCTTTCTTCTCTTATTTTTCTCCTCCCTTTTTTCTTTTTCATCACAAGCCAAATAGACAGGCAGACACCTCTCTCTCTCTCTCTCTCTCTCTCTCTTTCTTTCTCTGTTTCTTCACTTCTCCTTCAGTTCTTTAACTCGGTTGCTCGTTTAGTTCTTCTGGGTTTCCATTTTTAGCTTGGTTGAAGCCAAAAGTGTCAATCTTTCTAGGTTTTGGTAGTGGGTTTTTGTTAGAATATCAAGATATGACTTCATTGCTTTGAAGGGTCAGGTGGTTTTTTTGTTTTGTTTTGTCAGAGAACAAGTGGAAGTTGAGAGGTGTTTTTGGTACTATTATGCTGGGTTATGAGTTTGAGGAAGATATCATCAAGAAGAGTACTACAAGAATTTCTTTAAGAAGGATATTTTGAAAGGTTTTGTCAGCTATGGCTATTCAGGTATGCAAACTGATTTTCTTTTTTCTTTTTTAATTTTCTGGTTTATTTTTGTTGGATCAGTATTTGATAAGTTTTGAGGGTAGTTATAAAATTTTGTAATTCAAAAGGTCAGGGAAGAAAAAATGATTTTTTTTTTTTTTGGGTTTTCTTCTTGTTTTTGGTTGTTGTGGTTGTTTGCAATAATTGACTTACTGGAATTACTGGAATTAAGGAAAGGCAGATATAAAAGTGAGACCATATAATGAAACTCGTGTTAAAAGTTCTGTCCTTGACATCTAAAGAGTAAGAAGATTCATGCTGTAAGAAGTTGTCTTGTCTGAAAAAGATTATTTTGGCAAGTGGCATAATTGATGAGGATACATTCTTGTTGATGTTGAGCTGTCTTTTGTCTGTCAATAGCGTCACTCAAACAGGTTTCTTTTATGAGATAGTGTTATTGGGAATGTGATATTGAAGTTTCAGGTGGTTTTTGCTTTGGTGAACATTTATTATTTATGAAAGCAATTTTTGCCTGATTCTCTTGTAACATAAAGGAGCATAAGCCATCGTAATTCTTACTTTAATTGTCTTTTAGATTTATGAAATATGATGCTCATTAGATTCTTGATTTGTTGAATTTTATTTTATTTTCTTAATTTTAATGGATATTGAATTTTCTGGCAGTTAAAAGAATTGTGTACTTAGTTCAATTAGTGAATGGGAAGATTTGTGTCCTGGTACTAGTAGTGGAGGAAGCAGGGATGCCTTTCTGATGTCTTTGTTTCCACAATTTGATGCAGGATCAGTTTGGAGGGACTCGACCGAATCTGGTTCTCCCTGCAGGAAATGGCAATGGGATTTCACCGAGTGCTACACTACATGATGCAACTGGACACCAACTAAAGGAGCAGTTCTCTTGTGGGAGTGATTACTCTCCCAAGGTTTTATTCTTAACATGTTGGATATGAATGATGATTGATCTGACTCTCTATAATTTTTACTTGATACTCATTCTATAGTTGTTATTTTGATCAGGCAAGGAAACCGTACACAATTACGAAACAAAGGGAAAGATGGACTGAGGAAGAGCATAAGAAGTTCCTTGAAGCTCTAAAGCTTTATGGTCGCGCTTGGAGACGGATTGAAGGTATAATTGGTTGTCGAGTTTCTTAGTTAAGTTTATTTGTTCCATGTCTCGTGAGTCTAAATCTTTGTGTGTTTCGTTTGGCAGAGCATGTAGGCACGAAGACTGCAGTTCAGATTCGAAGCCATGCTCAGAAATTCTTCTCTAAGGTTTACTGCTCTTATTCCAGCTTCTGTTCTCTACCATAATATATAAATACCCTCAACTAAAGTAAGTTGGATTTTTGACGAGCCCGAGGACTGCGAACAATCCTTCAATGGGTTCATTTTTCATGCTTGATGTTGCTCTTACCCTGTATTTTTATTTGGTTAGGTTGTGCGTGATTCTGGTGGCAGCAACACTAGCTCAGTGGAGCCAATTGAAATTCCTCCTCCTAGACCAAAAAGAAAACCTATGCATCCTTACCCCCGGAAATTGGCACATCCGCTAGAAAAAGAGATTCTTATACCTGAGAAGCCACTTAGGTTGTCATCTCCGAATTTTTCAATTTCAGAACAAGAAAACCAATCTCCAACATCAGTATTATCTGCAGTTGGTTCAGATGCCCTTGGTTCCACTGATTCAGACACACCAACCCATGGCTTATCTCCAGTTTCGTCTGCTGGTGGTGTTCATCATGCTGATTCATCACCTGAAGACGATAGATCTCCATCACCAGCAACTGCTAGTTCAGCTCCTGATGAGCAATGTCTCAAGGTATTGGCCACCTCCTTTAACGAATCAGATTGTTACTGTGCTTTTGATGTCTTAAAAGTTCTCAGGTTGTCCTAAATATTTTTTCTATTTGCTTGAAGGTCCAGAAACTTGAGTCATTTCCCATAGAAAATGTCTCTTTGGAAGAACCTGTTGCGGAGGAAACATCAACTCGTAGTCTCAAGCTCTTTGGAAGGACAGTATTTGTCACAGGATGCCATATGCCATCTTCTCCAAACATGGGAACTTCTAAATTGTTGCTACCAGAAGCTGCTGAAGAGAAACTTTTGCAACCAACAACACTGAACGTCGTGGCTGCAGAATTGCAGTCTGGAAATGGAGATTCCACTTGGAGTCCTTTGCCCCATGGGTCTCATGGAGCATTATGTTACATGCAATTTCAAAATGAAAACTCAAGTCCTGCAGGAAATGACTCTGCTACTGTAATGCCTTGGTGGACTTTTTATGGAGGCATGCCATTTCCTTACATACCATTTCACAAGCAAGAGCCTGGGACAGAAAATTTAGAATCAAACGGAGATGAATTCCAAGATAAAGAGATTCAAAAGGAAGTATCTGGGACTGGTTCTAACTCTGGACCAGTGAATGAAGGGGAAAATGTCGATAAAAACATGGATGCTGAGACTGAAAGTTACCAATTTTCTTACGAGGAAAAAGAGCCATCCCCAATTTTTGAGCTTAAGCCAACCAAGAAATCAGCCTTATCTGGATCAAAAATGATTAATGAGAAGTGCATGAAAGGGTTTGTGCCTTATAAGAAACGATTCGCAGAAAGAGAGAGCCAATCCTCAACAATAACTGGCAAAGAGAGGGAAGAGAAAAGAATCCGCCTTTGCCTGTAGTTAGCCTCATCAAAGAGCCTTAGTTTCCCTTAACTAGAACATAGAGCTTTTTTGAACTAGTTGAGGATGAAGGACTCCGAGAATGTCAGTTCCTGGATGACTGACTAAGAAGGAGACGAGGAATGGTGCTTAAGCAGCTGCCATCTTCTGCAGTTCTTAAAGTTTCTCATCAAGTTCTTAGTTTTTCCGCCAACCGTTTTTGTCCTTATTTCCACTTTTTCTTGCAAGCATCATGTTTTGTCTCGCTCTGTTTTTTTTTCTCCCTCCTTTCTAATCCTTTGGATTAGCTTTCTAATCTCTTAAATTCTTTTGTTTCTTTGACCTGTGAATCCCTTAGTCCCCTAGTTTTCATTTTGGCCTCTGTACAGTATCATAAAGCAGTACTTAATTGTATTTATCTTCTCTGCAATTTTGGCAGTTGGAATGTATGAATCTGTCTTTTCATCCTGTCTTCTCTAGCTGTGCATTAAAGGTATACAGTCTCCACAAATATGCCATGATTGGAATGAGAAATTACTCAAATTCTCCTGCTATTTTATCACCTTGGAATGGATCAATTCTTCCTCCCAAAAAATTAAAAAAAAAAAAAAACAGATCAATGGTTTGGTCGGAGGAGGGTAGTTCTTGATGTTCGATTTCACCCCAGAATATGGTGTTAGCTAGATCCAGAAACTGACTTGGCATGGTGTCAAGTGACTCAAGTATAGTTTACTATTTTAGAGTGGTTTAGTGGTTAAAGTAAATTATAGATTAGTCTCTCGTTGAAAAAAAAAAAAAACAAATTAATTATATTTTAGTTTTAAAAATTAATTATTTAATTCTCATATTTTAAAATTATTTGTAATTTAATTTTTTAACTTCTTTTTAATTTATTTGCATTTCTATTTTAAGAAATAAAAAACATAAAAAAATTGATGATGGATGAGAAAAATATTTTTTTATTAAATAAAAATAATATTAAATTATATATAATCAATATTGATTAAAGAATTAAATAATAGTTCTTGAAACGAGAGAGGATAATTAATTTGTTTCTTAAAATTAAAAGGAATAATTAATAATTTATTGATATTTTTTAATAAAGTAGGTTTGAATTTCAAGAACTAGTTTATTTAATTATTAATTAAAAAGAATTATAGTTTATTTGATTATTATATAATAATAAAATTATATTTTGTTATGTAGTTTATAATTTTAGTTTATTTGATTATCATTATTAAATAATAAAAAAATTATATCTTATTGTATAGTTTAAAATTCAACAGGCTTTGTATATTATTAATTATTGAAAAACGCAGCAAATAAAATAAGGGCATAAGCTTCTTCTTGATCATCAGAAGTGTCGTGATTATTCCATGATTTATGCCGCTTTTCTATTGAAAAAGAGATGTAAATTCACTTTTTTTGTTGGTCAAGATATTTTCTAACAAATAAAAAAGATTTTTTCAAGTGAATAAAATGCACTTTATTTTAAATATTCATATAAACAATAGCAAAATTTTCAATTTTCATGGATAGACGACTTAATTTTGTTGACATACAAAATGGTCAAAGAATATATTTTCTGTAATAAAAAAAGAAAAATCAATTTTCAAAAGACATGCTTTAGTTATTTTCTTGACAGGTATTTTAAAATATGTCTAACTAATTGAGTAAACTATAAACTAATCCCTCTAGTTTTGAGAAACGAATTAATTAGTTTTTAAAAAAATTAATTATTTAATTTTTTTTTTGGTCTCTTTTATGTTTCTTAATTTTTATTTAAATAAAAAGATTTTATAAAAAGATCGATAAAAAATATTTATTTAAAATAAAATAATACTTAATTAATTATGATTTGATGAAAAAAATTAAATAATTAGTTTTTGAAATAAGAAAGGATAATTAATTTATATTTCAAAACTAAAGGAACTAATTACTCAAAGGTAAAAACAAAAAAGGCCATCATTTTGGGTTGGGAAAAAGGAGATCCATAGCCAATAACAAAACCCAAAGACAAATAAAAAACACCATCTCCTCCTCCAAAACCGCCCACTTTTTCAGGGTTTTAGGCCAAAACCGGCACTAAAAAGTGTAAAATTGAAGGATTTCAAGACACTGCAGCCTCAAGGTTCTCTCTTTATCTTCAGACACAGGTTTTTCGTTTTTGCATTTGGATCAAAATTGAAACAATTCTGGAAAAACTTTGCTCTTTTTGTTTCATTCCTTGCTTTCTAGAAACATAATAATTGAAAGAAGAAATTATCCATAATGCCGCTGTGTAGAAAAAAACCCTCTTTATTTTCTCCTTTTTTTTTTATCAAGAAAATCCACTTGATTTCTGAAAGTAATTTCAACCCAGTTCGTTGTAATCATACCCATGATTTGTTCATAGATAAAAAAGCTAAAATTTGTAACTTGGCTATCTCTGAGGTGATGCAGAGAACGAGTCTCTCTCTGTAGCACCTGTGGATGATAATGTGGTTTCAGTTAATTCCCAAAGGAAAACACAACACCAGTTTAAGGTTAAGCTAGATAGGTGCTTGAAGCGCGGTGATGTTTATGATGAGGCAAGTTAATCAACAGCATTATAATTAATTGCTTTATTTATGTATTTATTGTGGTGAAAAGGGAGGTGAGGGGGTGATTCTAAGTTGGTTTGCAGACGGGGTGTGAGTTATTTTAGCAGATGGTTATTGATAAAGTTATGCCGAGTGAGGCTACGTTTACGAATGCAGTGAGGCTAGCTTCTGTTTTGGAAGACCTGGAAATGGCTTTTGATACGGTTAAGCAAATGAAGGGTTTTGGTATTCTGTCAAAATCGAGAATGTATGGACTGGCTCTGTTTGGATTTTTAAAGAAAGGGATGATCGATAGAGCTTATGAAGTGATGAACATATGATTGAATCCAATGTGGTGTCTGAAGAGCCTGAGCTTTCTGCTCTTTTGAGAATTAGTGCTGTTTTAGGGAATGCTGACAAGGTGTATGGGTTACTGCATCGGTTGCGAACCAATGTCAAGCAAGGTACGGAACCAACTGTTGGGATTATTGAAGATCGGTTGAAGTCTGAGCATGCTGTAAAAGTTGGCAAGGAAAATTGGGATGTGAGCAAGATAAAGGAAGGAGTTGTGAGAGGAGGAGGAGGGTGGCATGGGCAAGGGTGATTAGGGAGTGGTCAATCGAGAGTCTCAAGGAATAAAATGACCAAGGTTGGTGTTTGTCATTCTTGTGGTGAGAAGCTTCATTGTGTCGATCTTGATCCAAGAGAGACAGAAAATTTGCTATCTCATTATCCAAGTTGGCTAACCAAATCCAGGTTAAGACTGATTTCCGTCAGTTCCAGGTACAACACAACTCTTAATCTTACCTGCACCTGTAAGGTTCAAGGAATGGTTCTTTAAGTTTTTATTTTTGTGTATATGTTTCTCGACATTTCTCTATCTTCATCTCATGTAAATATTTATTGCATGCACATGGAAAGAGTTCATTGTGAGAACTTTAATCAAGGTGTGCTTAAAATTATGAGAATCTGTTATATTGGCCTATATGATCATTCTTACATTATAAGTTTGTTTATGCTTAGATTCTTTTTCCCACATCAAAATGTCGACATTCTAACTTTGCCACTTCTGCATGTTTAGGAAATTGATACATAAAACAATTGCCAGTGGGATATTAACTGATGTACACAGTGAACTCATTCAGGAGTGGCTGTGGAATCATGGTCCATTCGATGCCGTTGTAGATGGAGCGAATGTGAGTTTTGTCAATAAACGAACTTTCAGTTTTAACCAGGTAAGTGGCATGCTGAGGATAAGTTTTGTCAGACTACATCTTTCAATTTCTTCAAAGGGATATGAAAACAGGATGCTGAATGGTTCCTTCTTGTTGTAGCTTGATATTGCTGTAAATCAATTGCATCAAATGAGCTCATCAACGAAATTGCCACTCATTATTTTGCACAGAAGTCATGTAACTGCAGTTCCAGCTCGGAGTTGAAAAAACATTGTTAGAAAGCTTTATGAATTCTGGTGCATTTTATCTTCCTCCTTCAAATGATAATTGGTGAGTATGCATTCAATGAACTATTCTGTTCTGTCTAGATGTTCTTGGCTTAATGACTAATTTATGTTTTGCATGTATGCATTATAAAAGTCTACAATGACACCATTTCTAACCATTTTTGGGATACAAGAGTAACTCAATGGTCTTTGTTTGAAAAATACTTGCACATTACAATCCAAAGTAAAAGACGTAGTTGTAACTTTTATGGGAGTAGGTGAACAATGATTTTGAAAAATTAATGATCTCTTTATCATCTGTTATTTCCATGAAAGTCCGACTTAATTAATTCAGTAGTAAGTTAATACTACCTTTGTCCTGCACAAGAAATAGACAAACCGAGTTTAGGATAATTCGTATCTTTAACAAGAGAAGTTGCACATATTGAGCCAAAATATCACCAAATTAAACTTTTGCATTGAGATGATTTTTTAGCATCTCTAAACTAACCAAAATACAAATTTGAATTATACTAACAGACTAAATCCTTAACATAGGGCAATGACAACGGTCCTTCTCAGGGCTTCATGACGGAGCTGCTACAAGATTTTGATGACCAATCAATGATGAAATAGCGTGGTACTTTCTTTTTAACCCAACAATATTTTGCCAACATACTGGATAACTACAATATTTCAAATCCACGCCAATCTCTACTTGCAAGTAGGATTTTGGATTCAGGCAACTCATGTATCAAATAATCTTTCCATCCATCATCTATTCCTTGGCTGTGATCAGTATGTGCCTTGTTTACTATCACATGAACCCCACACTTTTCTACTCTATCATCACCATTATCATGTATTTTCACAGATACTTCCAACTGTTCTTCACCTTCAATCGCGCATGGAAGCCCAGACAATGTTATATGCTTTACCGAAGAGTATTGGTTACTCGCTGAATCTGTGTTAAATGCAAGAAATATTGTTCTTCTAAACAATTGGATACCATTGCTCTTGTTTCTTATCGCAACATCACCTAGACCCAATTTTCTTCTTCCGTTGCCCCTACAGACAACCCAAACCACTAGTTCTTGGAGTATACCAACTGAAACCGGAGGTACTTTGAATGACAATGAAGATCCATCTCCACGATGACTGAACCATTCTGGTATCTCATTGACAGCAACGACAATGTCATACTGTTTACCCTTGCACAATTCCTGTTTTAATGAAAATTGATTAAATTTTTAAACATTTTTTGTTTAAAACATAAAATTCAATTGGCTTTCCTTCAACCGGATGTTTTAACAAATAATAAAACTAGCTTCGACCAGATGTTTATAACATCCGAATCGAATGTTGCAAACATCTAGTGAACCTTAAACCGGTTGTTAGTAATTGTTGAAACATCCGATTAAATAGAGAGTCATTGTCTTTTTATTTAAACAATCGCATTGAAAAACCACATCCTAGTTATATATATATATATTCAGCTATGTATGCATGTGTGCATGCATGGAAGAGAGAGAGAGAGAGAGCGAACCTGAAAAATGCTCTTCTTAAAATTATTTGATAAATTATTGCAGTCTGGAGAAAAAATACCCCAGCTACTATGCACCCTTTCGAAGCCTTGAATCTCTCTTAAATTTTGGCAGCCAGATAGGTACAGTTGGGGTCTTGATGTTGTCTGAATTGGCAGTTTCACTCTTTCCAGTGACGAGCAGTTTTCTGCTTGCAATGTGTATAAACTTGAGGGAAGCTCTGGGATTGATAGAAGATTTGAGCAGTTTTTAAGCCACAAATTCTCAAGCTTAGAAAGGCCACCAATATTAGAAGGAAGATTGAAGAACTTGTTTCCGGATAAATTCAAAAATTCCAGAGAGGACAAACTCCCAAAATCTGTGGAAATAGACTCTTCAGACAATCCACTATAGCTAAGATCTATTTCTTTCAATGAGCTCAAACCAGTAACAGTTGATGGCAGCAAAACTTTGGAGTTTAAACTTCTGGGTGAAAGCCATGACGAGAAGAGTGAAAGACAAGAAGCAGGTGGTACGTCCTGTTTGTAATTGTATCCAGACAGTGATAGTTTCTCGAGGTTCTTCAAATATCCGAATGAAGAAGGAAGTTGTTGAATTGCAGTTCCATTTGCAAGCAACGTAGTTAAGGATTCCATGTCACCCACGCACTCTGGCAATTTCTCAAGTTTTGAGCAATTCGTGACATTCAGAGTTTCAACAGATTTTAAGCTACCCATGCTTTCTGGAAGAGTCTTTAGTCTGCAGCAGCCCTCCAAATTCAAGAAAACAAGTCTCTCGAATTGTCCGATAGATTGGTGAACCTCGACTAGACTCGAGCAACCTTCAAGCATCAGTTTTTCTAAACTCGAGCTCTGTAAGTTTGGTGTTTTAACAAGGTTCACAGAATAGCTGAGATTGAGGATTTTCAACTTGTTGAGAAACTGTCAAAAGTAATGAGAAAAATGAGAAATAATAATAATAATAATCATGAGAGAACCATTTAAATATGGCTAATTACTTATAAAAGTATTTTGAACTATTGGTTAAAAAAAAGGTTTCAATTTTTTTTTTAATTTAGGTCCCTAATCTTTTTTTTTTTAAATCTACAATTAAATTTTTTTACCTCGTCGATCAATTTCAAATGACATGAGCGACACATGGAGGCTTTAAAACAATAACACATGTTGTGAAAATTCTATACTGGACATGTTGTCTGTGACTTCAAGTATCTCTCACATGCATCCAGTGTGATTCAATGAGGCAAAAAAAACTTAATTGGAGGGGGAAAACAAAAAAAATAGAAGGTTGGAGATCCAAATCAGGGAAACAGAAGTTTAGAACTTTTCTTTTGTTGACCAATAATTCAATGTACTCTGTAACCAATTAGCCTTTAAATTTCATCAAGGATAAGAGGGAAATGCATGTATTCACACCTTCATCTCCTTCCACAACTCTTTGATGTGACTCTGCTGCATATCAAGAACAACTAGGTTGTCCAACTGAAGATTGGTTGGTAAAGAGTTCAAAGGGCATTCGTGCCAACAAAGCCATATCAACTCTTTCGAAAGATGCTTGAAGGATCCAGTAAGATGTACTCTCTTAATTTGGAGTAGCTGTAAATATCTCATCTTCGTAAATGATTTTGCATCAAGCGATAGAGCTTCTGATTCTTCTACATTTAAAGATAGGCCCTCCACAGCTTTTGTTCCCTAGGAAAATAAAAAAAACGATAGAAATGTCAGATGTGATGGCTTGGAAGGTGGTTTAATAGCACCAATTATGCATCTAAATTCTTACCATTTGCTTTTCAAGTACATCACATGCATCCTCGTAAAGGCAAATTCTGCTGCGTTTGCCAGGATCAGAAGGAGAAATTTCACGAATAATCTCCCTTCCCATGTTTCGTAATAGATCGTGCATGTTAATCTCATTTTGGTGATTGATTGTTATGAGAGACCTTTCAATCAAAACATGCAACCCAATTTCTGGAAAGAAACCACGACCACCTAGTATTTTCTCTACATATTCTTTGTCCTTACCAACAAAAAAGCATGCTATATCAAGAAACATACCTTTTAATTCATCATCATCCAATGTATCAAAACTTATTCTAAGCTTTTTCTGAATCTGAAGGTGTGGAATTTTTTGCAATTTGTCGATAGCACTTCTCCATTCAGGTTTGCTTCTTTTGAAGAGATAAGAACCCAGAACTTCAAGAGCTAAAGGAAGTCCTCCACAGTAATTCACTACTTCATTCAAAAGCTCGACATAATCTTCTACTAGATGAGTTTTCTTGAAGGCATGCCAATTGAGAAGGTAAAGAGACTCCTTTTGACTCATTTTGGTAACCTGAAATTTTTCATCCACTTCAAGTTGATTTAGCAACTGTTCATCTCTAGTAGTAAGGATTATTGTACTTCCAGGTCCAAACCAATTCCGCTCTCCCACCAATGCATCCAATTGTTCTAGTTGACCCACATCATCTAAAACAACAAGAACTCTTTTGTGGCAAAGACGTTCTTTGATCAAATTGATTCCTTGATCTACATTACTAATCTTCCAAATACTTGGTTTCAATATATCAAAAAGAAGTTGTTTTTGTAATTGAACTAGACCTTTGAGTTGCTTTGAGGCTTCTTT